ATATCAATAAAAATTTGTTATTAATGTTCTCTGTTTATTAAAATTAAGCGTTTTTAATTTCGATAACTACTTAGCTTTGATGTAAATGTATGATTTTAAAAAATAAAATTTGTCTATAAATTAGGAATTTTTTCGAATTAGACGTAGTAAATTGCATATATTCTAGCGGTATGAGATTGACATTAACATTTTATCCCTAGGTAACACTTGTATGTTGTTGTTTTATTCATAACCAATCAATTTCGTAATTATATATTTAAATTTTTTAATGCCACGTATGAGTTTGAAAAAATTTGAATTTTTTAATCCAATTCGAATCCTAAGATTCAATCCTTCATTATACAACCTACGAGTTACCTTGTCCAGTGGAATGTAATTCAGGATCTCTCCAAACATTCTAAGTGTCTCGATTCTAGAAGGTTCGTAAAGTACATCAGAACAATAAAAAATCTTTCCTATAAGATGGGTTATCAGAGATTAACATTTTTGTTCTCATCTAATGTTTTAATTGTGTTGCGGCTGTTTCAGTGTGCTCAACGATTCCTATTAGGCCTACATAAATTGTGAATTATCGCAGAAACCACTTGTTCAACTTGGCCTGTATAGTTTTCATGTGTCCACGTCGCAGTATGATTGTTCGAATATGGCCCTATTGGTGTGGAAATGAATTGATTAATTCATTTGTCATTATGGAACATAATTGCATTACACTTTATTACTTTAGAAATTATATACGTCATATAGTTATAGAGATATTGTGGCAAAAAATGCTGACTTCAGGGCAGCTAATATTTTTCGTGGTAGCCATACATTTTTTTCACAATTGTGCCTGCATACAAGGTCGTCTTTTACTTGTGAGCTTTGACTTCAACAAAACAAAACGTTAGATTTTCACAATATAACAAATTTCTACACCAGCGCATGCTGATATTGTGCTGTAATTTAGCATTATCAGTTACAGCAAATCACTACTAACGTTCATTAGAACGCCGTAACAGTGCAGTGCCTGAAGATATCGTTGTGTTCCTCAGTAACGTTTCTGCTGATACGGTGCTGAAAAGTTTGTCGCGGAGGCACCGTGAATTCGATCACTAACGTTCATTGTTGAGAGAAAAGCAGCAGGCAATGGCAGGGCTGCCAACACTTCGATATCTCTGACATTATCGGTAGAACTTTACCGATAAACGCGCTTGCCTGCTGACACTGCTCGGTGCCACAGGGCTGTCCTGCTGTCCCTTGTGTTTTGTATATGTATTTTAGCGGGGCTTGCCACTCACTGAAGATGATGGTGTTAGAGGCGTTAGAGAGGCTGTTGCAATGATAGAAGCGTTGACGTTTGCTGAAGATGGTGGTGTTAGAAGCGTTAGAGATGCTGTTGCAATGATAGAAGCGTTGGCGTTTGCTGAAGATGGTGGTGTTAGAAGCGTTAGAGATGCTGTTACAAGGATCGAAGCGTTGACGTTTGCTGACGATGATGGTTTTAAAGGCGTTAGAGATGTTCGAAGAATCGAAGCGTTGACACTCGCTGAAGATGGTGATGCTGGAGGCATTTGGGTTTCTGTTCCAGGGATAGAAGCGCTGACTATTGCTGAAAATAGTGGTGTTGGCGGCGTTAGAGATGATGTTCGAAGAATCGAAGCGTTGGCATTTGCTGAAGATGGTGGTGTTAGAGGTTTTAGAGATGCTGTTCCAATAATAAAAGCGTTGACACTTGCTGAAGATGATGGTGTTAGAGGCGTTAGAGATGCTGTTCCAAACGTTGGTGCTGCTGGTATTTGTTTTCGAATTTGATTTACTAAAACTCTGTTGTGATGCTTGAAATGGATGCCTTTTAACGACTTCGATGTTGCTTTAGATTAACAACTTCAACCGTCCAATGTCATCTGAGCGTTAGAGAACGAAAAGTGTAGCATCAACAGACGGTGCTATATTTTATCAAATTTGGAGACATGATCAAATAGAGCCGTTTTGGCTATGAAAATTATTCGAGCGCTTTTAAATTTTATGATTCTTTGTAAAGACAGTTTTAGTTTTTTTATGGAAAATTGCAATATTATTGATGATCAATTGAAATTCCGACATCACGTAAATAACGGTTGGTCGAAAAATTCACCTTTAATATGCAGTAATGCTGATGAAACAATAAGAAGCAATCATTCAATTCCTCAAAGTTCCTATTTATGTGAAGAAGAGACACAATTCTCACACATAGTTTTTCAAGATAAAATTGTTACTCACAAACTTTTTCGTTAAAAAAGCAGAATTTTATAGCAATGGCAAAAAAAATGCGGCAAATCTCTATTGGGATGTGAGGAGGCCGGCTGTGGAGTGGCTGCTAATCAGATTATAGCTTAGGAAATCCTGTGATCAGCGGTGGGGTCGGACAAGCTCCAAATCAATTCACTTAATGCCCTCAAATGGAAGCCGTGGACAGACGGCGACGTTCTTCCTGCCCCCTGAAAAAAGCTAATTTCTGTTGATTCAAAAATTTGGAATAAGTGAAAACCTTGGTTTTGATCAGTGCGTAAGGAGGAAATTTCAATTTGGATGAATTTCAAAATATTAGCACGAATAAAAGTATGTGAAATCAAATGATTTCGGCAACAACAGTTATTTTGTGAATTAAAAGTCCTGAAGATGAATACCTATCATGGATTAATCGAAATGTATAGGCGAAAATCGTCACTTTTAAAAAATTAAAGAATAAAGAAAAATTCTAAAAATTCAAGGAATACGATAATTAAGGAACAAGATAATAAGAAATACAAATTAGTTTAGTTATAATAAGCGATTGATTGTTCACTTATAATTAATTTAGAGTGTCTGATGAATAATTTATGAATATCTCTAAGCAAATAAAAACGCAGGAAGAGATTCGAAAATATCGAGCGTTCGCAATTTGAGGAATATTCGCGGCAGTATAAGAGAGCAGCAATAAATGGTCTTGAGACCCAACCATCCATTCCAGAAAGCATTCCAGTTGCAGGCATCCGCATGGAACGCAAGATTGACTCCCGCTTTGATATTTCTGACAAGCCGAAAATTTTTCGTTTCCTCCGTGATCGTCAGAAAGCGACCTCTGGCGGCGGCCATCTTTTCGATCGTCTTCAATCCTGGAATAAAGTTGCGCCACGGGAATATTCCAGACACAACACCGACGCCAATCAGGAATGGAATTCCTGGATTCCTAAGAGGAAATGATGGCAACGAAGGCGGCAGTAAAACTCCAATGGGAATATTTTCGCCGATCTTCTGATGGACGAATTTAGTCGGCCATGAGACGAGGCTGCATGGAAAATAGGCGTCCAAAGCGCGGTTAGAGAAACGTTCTTCGTCGAATATATTTCAATTTTGTCGATGCGTTAGAACTTAATTGTGAATTCATACGAGACGTTAAAGTTGTTGCTACTGAATAAGAACATGATTGAAGCTGTTACCACTTGCACCTAGTATAACAGAAACTATTTTGCATAACATTACTGGAGGGAGATTTGTTTTAAAACAAATATTTTAACAAATTAGGTAATATAAAATTTGATTAATATTTTACGAAAAATTTCTTTTTATTTCAGCTGAGTGAGCAACATCGTCGTCCTGATTATCACAAGATATTTAGTAATATAGTTGAAAATTGCAATAACTAAAGGCGCTAATAATAGATAGGCGACGTTGATTTCCTGATAGCCAAAATATCTTATTGATCACTTATTTAGTTATACAATCATATAGATATTCCTTTGCAAGATCATGATAGCTTCTTTTCTCAATTCCCGCTCTACTCAAGAAACTGACCCCTCTTCCAGACCAGGAATTCTATTATTATTATTATTATTATTATTATTATTATTATTATCATTATACGAATTACGTTTTAATGTTATTAATAATGTTATTATTATAAAAATATTATTATATTATTTTATATTTATTATATTACATCAAAATTTACTTTCTTGGAAGTGAACCTCGAGAATTTCAGGTGCGACGATGAGCTCTACTCAAGAAACTGACACCTTTTCCAGACCAGGAATTCTATTATTATTATTATTATTATTATTATTATTATTATTATCATTATACGAATTACGTTTTAATGTTATTAATAATGTTATATTATATTATTTTATATTTATTATATTACATCAAAATTTACTTTCTTGGAAGTGAACCTCGAGAATTTCAGGTGCGACGATGAGCAATAAAGAAGAAACTTGAAATTTTCCAGCCTTGACGCCGTTGTCAGCAGCCAGCAAATGGCCTTTCCAGAGAGCTACCCGAGCACTTCATCCCTACGTGTTTTCATACACAAATCTACAATTAATGGTAAGTTAGGAACTTATAAAAATTAGTTTGTATATCAGAGCTTCGAATGTATTCCAATGTGAATCAGCGTATGTCAACTGACGCGAACCCTATCAAGTCTGTCACAGAGCTGGTAAACCCTGAGATATCAGAGTCAAAACTTACAGACAATGGTAGACCCAGACACAGACCCTGCATACATAGACCATCCAGATACAGACCATGCAGACGCAGACCATGCAGACACAGACCATGCAGACACAGACCATGCAGACACAGACCATACAGACACTACGGTCAGCCCTGATACAGACTTCACCCAGCCATAACGCTACCATAATTCATTTTAAACCCAGCTAACCCTAACCGCACTTTACCCTGACTGCTGTTAACCGTGAACTCGCTTAACCCTGATCCCAGATTAGCCTTACCCCAGTTAAGCCTGACTCCATTGAGCCCTGACCTTACTTAACCCTGGCCCCAATTAACCCTTCCCGCGACACTTCATGCAACTTCACTCCACTTAATCCTGACCAAACGTCGAAGTTTTAATTAGGAAGCGTCAGGCGCCCGCTGTGATCTCGGACCAATTATGTTATTTAGATGAGCAGCGGTGGTGAAGTGTGGTGACGTGGTGCGGTGTGGTGTGGTGCTTAGTGGTTAAGTGTGGTGATGTGATGTGGTGATGGTGCTTAGGCTTAGTGGTGTGGTGATGTGGTGGGGTGAAGTGTGGTGATGTATGTGGTGATGTTGCTTAGTGGTGTGGTGATGGTGCGTAGGGGTGTGGTGATAGTGCGTAGTGGTGTGGTGATGTTGTGTAGTGGTGTGGAGTGTGGTGATGTTGTGTAGTGTGTGGTGATGTTGTGTAGTGATGTGGTGATGATGTGTAGTGTGTGGTGATGCTGCGTAGTGGTGTGGTGATGATGTGTAGGGGTGTGGTGATGGTGTGTAGTGTGTGGTGATGTTGTGTAGTGATGTGGTGATGATGTGTAGTGGTGTGGTGATGGTGTGTAGTGTGTGGTGATGCTGCGTAGTGGTGTGGTGATGATGTGTAGGGGTGTGGTGATGGTGTGTAGTGGTGTGGTGATGAGGTGTGGGGGTGTGGTGATGGTGTGTAGTGGTGTGGTGATGAGGTGTGGGGGTGTGGTGATGGTGTGTAGTGGTGTGGTGATGAGGTGTGGGGGTGTGGTGATGGTGTGTAGTGGTGTGGTGATGAGGTGTGGGGGTGTGGTAATGTTGTGTAGTGTGTGGTGATGGTGCGTAGTGGTGTGGTGGTGGACGTAAAAATTTTGCTGATAATTTCTATTATTTGATTCTGAATAACAATATTCTTTCAATTATTATCAATTTTTTTCACGATCTTAATCCGCATTTTACTTACGTCTCTAAGTTCCGCGAGTACAATCGGTATTTGTTATTTCCAAAAATGTTTAGTGATATTTTTCTATTTTTTTCTTTTTTGAAGTCAGGGCTCATTTTCCTAGAGTTTTCCCGCCAGTCCATCCACCGCGGCCGCTCATTTCGCCGCGTTTTTTCAATAAGAGAAGTTTGCGGGCAGCGCCCAGTCTCTTGTAAGAACACCTTACTGAGATTGAGGGATGCCAAACTTTTGGAATAATTAATGAAGCTTTAATAAGCAAGCCCGANATTCTATGTTGCTCATTTTTCCATTGCTGAAACTCTTGGCCCATTCAGTGCCGCCCAATTGGCTCCTGCTGAAACTCTTGGCCCATTATGTGCCGCCCATTTGGCTCCTGCTGAAACTCTTGGCCCATTCAGTGCCGCCCATTTGGCCCCCTTCGCAGGCTGGTGATCCATTTTACGGCACCCGGAAGGCCGACGTTTACTTGCCAGGCCGGTAATGCCGTTCATTATCACAGCCAAAGCAGCACGAGCTGTTGAAGTAGACGCGGAGCATCGCATGTCCTCTTGCTTTCTAATCACGAGCCAATGGAGCGTGAGCAACTTGCTTATTTAGAGCCAGACACCTTGCATGGGTTACTTAAATCCCCTCTGAGCTTTGCTCAATCCCCGACCTCGGGAGGCTGGGGGATTTGCAGGATCTCGGGCTTGGTCCTGTGAGGATCAGAATGCGTAGTCTGATCGAGGAACTGAGTCTCACGCATATGCTCATTAATGACGCATTATGCGATAGAATGAGGAAATTTTACCGTAATTTATAAATTTATAACTGATGGAGGTCTTTCATTAAAAATTTTAGAGCATGAATTTTTTGTTATTATAATACGCTGAAATATTTTCTCTGAAATTTGTTTTCTAGTGTCAAAGGTATCATTGATGACCGTGGTTACTCTGACATCAATTCTGAAATTATGCAAGTTGATTTGATCTTCATCGATTAGATTTAAGATAAAAATCCATTGTTCCTTCAAAAAAACTGCTAATTAAGAATTCGACTGATTATGATTTACTGGTTTTCGTAATTCCGCTAATTTTTTTTTTTTTTTTTTAATTTTACAAAAAAATTACGCTTTACAAAAAACATATTACGCTTTTCCATGCGCATGAGAAAACAGAACGTAAACATAATTCTTTGCTGCATATAATGTAATTATCTCAATAAATAAGAACAGTATGCGATGCCGAAGCAAAGTTCGTACTCTAAAAAACACAACATTTTACACAAAAGAATAACATATCATAATTTAATTCCATATGTCCGGCCATTGGGTCGTCAATAAGTAATTCATGCGTTCATCCCAAACATTGATAATGTATCAATTTTTTAACGAATGTTGTGCACTGAAGACTTTCAATTTTTCATGTATATCTTCATGAAAAATGATTTTAACATGAAGAGCTTGGCAGGATATGGTCCCAGGCTCATGGCTGGGACGCCCAGCCAAGCGCTTGGCAGGATATGGTCCCAGGCTCATGGCTCATGGCTGGGATGCCTCGCAGGATCATCTGCCCCGGCATTCCAGGATAGATTAATTCCAGTCCCCGCAATCCCCAGGGAATCAGGGGGGAGCTAGGGGAGGGGCGAGCAAGGGGAAAGAAGGAATAGAAGTGGGGAGCAATGGGCACAAGAAATAATGAAGGAGAGGGGAAATGAAACCTAATCTAGGAAGAAATGAGGGAAATGTGATACAAACTACACGCCGTTTGAAAAATGTATATTTATAAGAATAATAAATTAATAATAATAATGATGATAATAATAATAATAATAATTATGATAATAATAATAATAATTATATAATAATAAATGCAAGAAACAGAAGAAAAAAGTAAAAAATTATGGATAAAAACATTTTTTCAGCAGATGCAAAAGTAATTTTTTCTGCAAAAGTGATTTGTAAAAATGGCCGCGCATGTCCGTCTTTTTTTTTTTTTGCATGCTTACGGAGGTTATAAATTTGACCCTCAACTCTCGGGAAAGACTTAATAATGATCTTCAATTATTCTATTTTCTTTGTGGTTTAAAGTGCAACAAACTTTTTAATTGTCTACCTGTGATATGGTCACTTCCTTAAATAATAATAGCAATTTAACAAATAATGGTAAGGATATTTATCAATTCATGACGGAAGTGGAAACATTAATGTTGAGTGTAGGTTCCTTGCGTGTAATTTATCACAGCGCAGTCATCTATACAATGCCACATTAGAAATTAGAAAGTATCCAAATCAACCTTTTTATCGAATCACAACAAATCTTAAATATTAACTTGCATAATTACTTCACGGATAATGTGATAATTCGTTATAGTATTTAATATACTTTTTTCAGTTCTTCTCTTGCTATAGAGAATAAATAATTTTAATTTAGACTTTTCCCTTCCAGTACCTAAATCAGGAGCACTAAAAGATCTGGTGACCGAGACATAAACAGATTAATATATTTAGAGAAAACATCGTCATACGTTTAGTGCATTCCTCTTGAAATTGGACAGCCATGTTCTACTGGGTACGAAATTACTGTCAAATATTGATAAGCAATCTTTTTGCTTCTAGTTTCCTTCAACGGCTGCATGCATCTTTAATTGTGCATCGCCATGCAGGGTCTATCGCATCCTCTACGTCGCTAAAAACTTTATCGTAAAGTCTTTGTTGTAAAGATTCTCAATGACGAGATATGATGACATTAAAAGTAATTAATTACCCGATTAAAACAATTGTAATCGAGGTCAAATTGGAAAATACTCAAGAGCTTCCTAAAATCTATTGTTTTTTTTCTTTTCCTCATTCTTACTTTTACAGTAGAAAAATTATTTTTCTTCCAAATCACCCACAATTTCATTCCAGACAAAAAGACTTCTCATATTAACCTATACATGGTCACTATGCCTTCGTAATGTCCACTTCATAACTATTCACTTCATAACAGCTGTTCATAAGTGAACAGCGACTGAAAAAATTGCCTGCAGATCGCCACAGAAGCGACGTATTGTCCATGAACTTTTACATAGGCTGGTAAGTACGTGTCAGGCTTTCGGTGTAGCAACACTCATGGTGGCCTGTTCATCCTTACGTCAAAGTTTCAATTTTCACATTTTTTCGGGAAATTTGCAAAAAAAATATCGCAAAATTATTATCCAAATTTTAGTGTATAGTGATTATTTATTCCAATTCGACACATAGCTTGTAATTTTTACATTTTTTGTATCACAAGGTAAATAACAGTTCATAAAAACAGCTGGTATCTTTATATTCATATATACAACGCAACATAATGTAACATAATGATCTCATGCAGAATGCGTGAAATTATATTTGCCTGTATTTATTATTAGCTAATTACGATGATGAATAGCATTTTTAATAATAAAGTTCCCTTTCTAGAGAAAAAATATGAATTTTTGCGTATTATGCGCTTCTTGTCCATGACAGACAAGCGAGCCATCTTCCCCAGCCTCCCCAGTCGGTGGGGCAGCGCGCCTGTGGTCCGCTCGCCGGGCCATCTTTCCCAGCCTCCCCAGTCGGTGGGGCAGCGCGTCTGTGGTCCGCTCGCCGGGCCACTTGCCCCAGCCTCCCCAGTCGGTGGGGAAGCGCGTCTGTGGTCCGCTCGTCGGGCCACTTGCCCCCACCCTCCCCAGTCGGTGGGGTGATTAAATCGGATAATTTGTTACTTGGATTTCCATCCTCTGTACAATTTGCTTTCACGTGTTAGTTCTAAAATAACGTTGCTATTGATAAGTTTCCATAAATTATTTTCTCAAGCTAGCAGGTATGTTTCGAAACGTACAGTGAATTTCTGGGTCAACATTGCAATTATCATAGGAGTTATTATTACATTTGATTTAAATTTTACTGCTGAGTTAGTGAGGCATGACGAGCTCCTGGATGGATGTCACCAACGAAGCTTGGTTTTCGACCAACTCCTGAATTTCCTTCAGTTCTGTAACAAGAACCGAAGTCTTGTTCTGCTCAGCTCTTCTCTGCCTTGATTTCGTATGAATTTGTGAAGAATTCGAAATGCATTTATGTGCCCTTGTACCATCACTATAACGGCTTCGTGTCATCGAAATATTTTCCATTGAATTGTTTACTGGGCTGATAAATTCACTGATGAATGAAATATCATCCTTTTCCGTATCTAAATTAAGATTCTTCTCTATTGCAGGCATTAAATGTGTGTTTCTAGCAGAGTTTTTGTGGTATATGTCCAAAGCCATACATTCACTGCATGAAACTCCAACAGGCGGATCATTTATTTCGTAGTTTATTTTTAAATGATTGCTGGCAACGACATCTGCCCAAAAATCTTCGCTGATGTCAAAGCCATCAAAAAGTTCCTTTCCAACGCAGGCGTCATTTTCATTGTTGTCTCTGGATGGAAGTTCATCCCAGAAATTTCCTTCACAAAGATTTTCATCCCAATTTCCCTCATCGCGTTGAGGAAGACTTAAATAATATCCTGCATTTTCAGCGAAGGGAAATTCCCGATGAGTTTTGCTGGACGAACCCAAATCCTGGAGCGATGCCCAGCTGCGCACGCGCGGTGAACAGCCATGACGCGGTATCCTCCTGGAGGAGTGCGAAGAAAATGTTAATTATTTTCATTAAAGAAAATATTTAATTGTTATTCGGAAGTTTAGATAGTCTCCACTCAGATAAATGTGAGGGTCATTGTCCAATTAGCGAAACACCTTTTTTTCCTTGTGTGGGTTCTTCTGACTCGGTATAGCCCGGCAAAATCAGTTATAGGTTCGCTCTGTCCTCGTGTATTGAGTGATAAAGCCTGTCCATATTTGGACAATATGAAACTTTCATGTTTTTCTGAATAAAAAAGTGTGTTGTACTAAAAATGAAGTATACAATTGTTGAAACATATACTGAAGTAAATGTTCGCATGTCTGAATATCATAAGGATAAATGTTACTCTGAAAAAGTTTTTACTTAAAAATGAATCTTCAGTTAAGCTCAAATTCATGGAAATAACTTCTTCACTATGTAACATGACGAAAAATACGAACAAATATTGAACAAAATAGCGGGGCAGACCTGGCGTGGTGGAAGAGGAGCTCAGCGAGCTGCGTGAGCTCCCGCAGGCGACGCTGGAACACGGCGAGGTCACCTGCTGGGGACGTGGTCTTGAGGGCGTCTTGTGCTCCTACTGAGGACGTGGTCCTGAGGGCGTCCTGAGCTCCTGCTGAGGACGTGGTCCCGGGGGCGTCCTGAGCTCCTGCTGGGGACGTGGTCCCGGGGGCGTCCTGAGCTCCTGCTGGGGACGTGGTCTTGAGGACGTCTTGTGCTCCTACTGAGGACGTGGTCCCGGGGGCGTCCTGAGCCCCTGCTGAGGACGTGGTCCTGAGAGCGTCTTGTGCTCCTGCTGGGGACATGGTCCCGGGGGCGTCCTGGGCCCCTGTTGGGGACGTGATCCTGAGGGCGTCTTGAGCCCCTGCTGAGGACGTGGTACTGAGGGCGTCCTGAGCCCCTGCTGGGGACAAGGTCCTGAGGGCGTCCTGAGCTCCTGCTGGGGACGTGGTCCCGGGGGCGTCTTGGGCCCCTGCTGGGCATGAGGCCCCTAGGGCGTCCTGAGTCCCTGGCAGTGAGGGAGCCTGAAACGTTGCTGGTGTTCTTGTTGATGTTGATGTTAATTCTTGGCATGATTGCACTGTTGATGCCGGGGCTGATAATGTTGATGTTGACGTAGTTGATGAATGCAAGGCCCCCGTTGATGTTTTGAATGATGCGTCCATTGATGCTGAAGACGTAAATGCCGATGATGCCGCAGTTAATGTTAAGCATCCTGATGATGGTGCCGTTTTCTCTTCTATTGCCGTTACTGATGTTGTAGCAGGTGATTGTGCAGCAGATAATGGTTCTGCATTGAATGGTTCCGAAGTTGTAGAAGATGCCTGCTGGAAAAAGCAATGGAATCTTTCATATATCTGGTGGTTGCAAAAAAAAATCAATGTAAACTGATGCTATTCTACTTAGTAACTTACCATTAGAATTAAGTAAAAAGTTCGAATGAAGACGTATTTATGTTCATTCTAATTATATTCATATTTCTATTCATAAAATATTTGGAATTTAGTTTTCCTAACATAGTTATATCCTCACTTGAAAGATTATTTAGTTCGTTTAACTGGTTTGAAGGAATTGAAATTAAATTAAATCTTGTTTAAATAAATTCATATTTGAAGTTTCAGTGTATAATGCAACCTATATAAATTGAGCAATAATTAGCCCGTATAATTGTTCGTCTCTTTTTTCAGAACTTTTAGGTCATGTCTTAAGATACTGAAGAAAAAGCTCTAAGCAAGATTTGCAAATCTCATCGCAATGAAAGTCCCCGGGAGTTGCACGCTTACTTTCAGGACAGATTTCTCAGGGGAGACTTTACTTTAGCCAGTTGAGGAAAATTAGAGCCAGGCACCAGATGTTAAACAAGGTCAGCTTTTGTTTTAATTAGATATTCTAATCTACAAGAGATTACGTTCCTTTTCCTTGGCTGCTGTTGTCTCATCCCTGTTGTTGCACTACCGGCAACATTATCTTTGACTTTGATCTCGTTTCACAACAATTTTATCAGAATTAGGGTATTTTAGTAATTTGTTTAGTTGTGATATTAAATTTTTCTTGTTATGTGGATAGGAAATGATTGTTCCGAATCATGATCAACAGGATTATTAAAATTTTTCATCGTTCTCCCAAAATTTTCTTCCATTTAACGGTGTCTAATCTAGTAAAGAAAAATGACAAGTACATCAATGTATGAATGATTAATGGTTGTGTGTGATGACAGTTGGCGATCTAACAATAAACTAGAGACCCACTAACGTCTGATACAATAATTATCAATGATGAATTGCCGTCCAGTTTTATGTTCGACAACTACTTGACAAATCACGCTTCTGATTGGCGGCCCGAATGAGGGTTGCCGCCGAGGGCTGTGATTGGCCATCGTGGCCGGAGAAAGTCAAGCCAAGTATATTACATTATAGCCAAGTCAAGAAGTCAAGCCACGTATATTACATTATAGCCAAGTCAAGTAGTCAAGCCAAGTATATTACATTATAGCCAAGTCAAGTAGTCAAGCGAAGTATATTACATTTTGCGCGGTGGGTGGACAAAAGACAGCGGGGCTCCGCAGGTGGGGTGAAGCAGCTGGGGGAGAGTCATCCATGTGAGAGCTTCTGCCATATGGTCATGTCATGGAGGTTACATTTCCTTAACTCCAATGCCTCTCTCAAGCCGGGTCTATATAGTTTTTAGTCTCCATGTATTGTGATCGTACATTGTGAGCGTACAATGACAGCCTTTTAGTGATGAATTGCAATCAAGCGTTCAGCGCAGATTTGAGCAATAATAAATTAATGAATGGATGTGAGTGTTGTATTTATATGTAATGTGACGGTCCTTTGTTTTAAAATGAGCAATGATAATTGGTTCCTGCAAATACCCTGAACAATAATAATATGCAATTAAAGACGAAATCCACATATTAAACTTGAAAGCTTCGGTTACGGGTTTGAAAAAAATATTCGGTGGCAGCCATTCCAGTCTTGTTAACGTGTTTATCTTAGTTACTAATTTTTTACAATATTTTTAGAAATGTTGTCAGTATATTACATTCTAGACTAGAGTGAATATAAAAAAAAGCATTTTATGCAATGAAAATAACCCATCTGAGATATTAAGGAAGTTCCTGAAGGGTTGGCGGTCACCGATGACAGTGGGTTAAAGATTACTACTTCCTTTTCTTCATCTCCGCTTGTGGCAACATTTTTGGCGGGAAATTCTTCTTTATCCCTCTTGACGACATTATTAACAAGAAGTTCTTTTCCAAGTGGTGTTGCAACAATTCCTGCAAATGCATGTATGGTCTTCGTGCTTTGATAATAATCATCGAATTGATTACACGCTTCCGTAGGGATTGACGTTTCCCTTTTTGAAACCTGTGAATCGTGGTGTCCGTTTTCGCAGTTTCCGGTCGATATCTTGGCAGTCATTTGGTTGGGTGTTTTCTGATTTTTATTAGAGAAAAAACATCTGCCTTTAGAGAAGAAGCATCTGCCTTCAGCAAAAGATACATTCTCTTCACCAAAATTATTGTTCGGATTGCGACTGACATGAGTGACATCAGTGACACTCTTAGAACTGTCAGTTCTGAAGTGATTAACTAAATTTTCGCAGTTGTGAAGTTCTTCCGATTCACCATCAGATCTTAGGATATTTTTCGTGTTTCTTTCATCCGGAACAACAGGTGAATTTTCTAGTTCATTCGGAGAATGTTTGCTTTTCTCTGCGTGACCTTCTGAACTACCCTCATCGTAAGAACAACTGATCGCTGAAGACGTTTGATTGTCTGTCAACAGAGCATATACGTCTCCTGCTGTACTGGACGATGAAATAGATTCCGAGTTTAGAGGATTTATAGGAGAATAAGACGACAAAGACACAGATCTTGCTGCATAGGAACATTCTACTGCGTTTTTCATTAAGGCCGTCTCAGCCTTTGAACCACAGTTTTGCTGTGTATCATCTCCCGTTTTCAATGTAAGTAGTTCAATACCGATGGCATCATCCTCATTCTTCAGTCCATGCGGGAACATGACATTTTCCTGAATATTTACGGTGTCATTTACCACGTCTGCGCCGTTCTCGGCAGATACTCGGCTGCTGGTCTCATTATTCACTGAAATGTTGTCTCGTTCGTCATGCATTTCAAAACAAAGTTTTCTTTCAAAGTCGTTGAGGTTCAAGCAGCCTTTTTCAGGCAGATGTGTGTTTACATGAGCCTCTTGGTGTGGTTTGGAAGTTAAAAGTGTTCTTTCAATATTTTTATTTTCAGGTGATGTTCGATTTTGACGGGAGCGCAGTAGTTGCAGAAGCTCCCAATTTGCAGACTGTAATGCTGCGTTGCGCTCTATCAGGAGACTGCACATAGGGAGAAGAATAATGATTATACCAAAATAATTTGATAGTTTTACTTATGGATATCAATGGTAAAATCAGATGAATGAAAATAACTATGCTTTTTTCAACTGATGATGGAGCTGGAATTCGAAATGTTTTCGATCAATAAATGATGGATTTGGGTAACTTCTTTTTTGCTAAATTTTTTTTTATATTCGCATGAGTAATAAACAATTTCTAAACCACCGTGTCTGATGTCGAAACGCATTACTAAATTTCTTATCTTGAGGCGAAGCTGCCATGGCTCCGCGCCTCCAAATATCCTCATGGGTGTAAATTGGAAGGCTTTTACTCCAATTTCGATCTGGCTGAAAGTATTCGGTTTTGAGCGGCAGCGTCGAGAGGAAAGATGACTCGTCAATTGCGGGAACACTCACTTCGGCGAGCCGCGCACGCATGCATAATTGAACGCATGAAGAGCGGGTAAAGTTTCTGGCTTAAATTGGCAAATGCCGCAGTTCAGGTGAATGACTTTACTTCCACTTGTTGGGACGAACTTTTTCACATTTTTTAGATCGGATCCACAGTAAACGAATACCGCAAAATAAAATCTAGGGCAATGTTTTATATGGATTGAAAAATGTTTGATGAAATCTCCTTAGTACAATAGCTCTGCCAGAGTGTAGCTATAGCTGATGTGAACAATTAGTCGCAAAAATCACTATTGAATGTACAGTATTTGTTGTTTTGTATACAGTTTTTGTTGGAATCGGATTTTGATGACACATTTTGTTATGATCACGAAACCAGGTACACATTTTTGTCGTAATTGCTATATGAGGTCATCACTTTTTGTTATAATCGCTATTAGAGGCCATCGTAACTAAGAAGCCCCCATTTTTTCTCGTGATCGAAATATGAGACCCAACTTCTTTCTTAATCGCTCTATGAGACCCCAATTTTGTCGTGATGGCTATATTAGATCCCCCCCATAAAAATCAACCCACTAGCTCCACCAAGTGGTTATGACGTCAAGAAACACGAATGCTTTCAATGAGACTTCCGCCCCCAGTCCCCAGCCAACAGCTCGCGTGCTCCGCTCACTCGATTACAGCGGCAACACGAGACCGCTTGCCTTGCGCCGATCATTCGGAATTGCGAGCGACACGAGTCATTACGATAGAAATTGTCATAAACGTTTTGAAACCTAAAACGTATTCATTAAAGATTTTAAGTAATGCAAGCTTTTTATTTAAGAAGAAGAGTATATCAGAATATTTGAAAATTATCGCTCAGAAGATTATTATAAAATCATCGATATGGAGGGAGGAACTTGAGTATTTTCGAATTTCATTTAGAGATAATAGAAAGTTTGCTGCAGTACAAAGCATCGAAGGCTCGGCATTCAGGTTAACTTTGTACAGGAAATAGCTTTGATTTATAGGTATGCGTAGATACAATTTATGACTTGTAACGCATCTATAGCATAAAAACTTGGTGCAGGAAGACAGACTTGTCAAAAAGGACGACAAATTCAAGGAAGACTGACAAATTCAAAAACTTTTTGCAGAATTCAAGTGCTGGTGAAACATTTTTTTTCGGTCGGTTAAAATTGTTGTGTTCTTTTCGTACGTAAACTCTAAATGAGATTTTCAGATCGGATTGCTGTACCAAGAAAAGAGGTGCACTTTTCACGGGTAAGACTATGCATCAAGGGTTTAATATCCACCGGACTCAATTTAAATGCATACGCATCTTCGATATTTTTTGTACGCTATAATATGTATAATAATATATTTGGCGCAGCACTTGCACTAGTTTCATGGCAAAAAATCCAAAAAATATTTTATTTTATTTGACAAAATGAATTCAATGAATGAGTCCATAATCTATAAAAAAGCAAAACAATTGTTTTATGTGACAATATAAATTCAATGAATGAGCCTATAGTCTACATACCGTCTTTCAGTGTTGACGAGCAGACGGTGTTTGAGGGGCGTCGTCTGTTCGCCTGTCTCCTGCAGCACAGACAGCAGGCGCGTCGCCCCCTGCGACCACCCCCGCACCCCCCACACCACCCGCTGCCACCACGAGCATTGATAAGTAAAGCTTTGTATTTATAAACAATGAAAATAAACATACAATATATTACTATTTGAGGCAATGAAATAGTTTATTCTCGCCGTGCTATTATTATTATTTAGAACGGTTATTATTATTTAGAACGTACCAAATATCAAATTAATATCAAATTATCTTAAATAATTATCATTAAATCGATCACTATATATACATAGACTCACAGCGGCAGTCTGGGCCAGGCGGCTGCGCTCGTTCAGAGCGTCCCTGAGACGGACGGTGCTCTGCTTCAGTGCCTCCTGCAGCTCTGCGCGCTCCTCTGCCAGCGCCTCCACCTGCAGCAGAATTAAAATTTTTAGCACATGAGGTAACACGTCCAACGTTACATCCGAAGACGACTCGGAGACCGAGGACGACGAAGGCGGCGCATCAGCGTGACCGGGGACTAGGAAGTCCCGAACTCATCATAAGGTCATAAGGTAATCCAGCTCAAATATTTGCCGACATCATTCAGATCGTTTAAGCTTAAATTTTCCCGAATTTGTTCTGATTTACGCGTATTGAGTCGAATTTTCCAAACCTGTTGCTGGAGTGCAGCGTTGCAGTGCTGCAGTTGTCCCGCGCACCTGTTGCTGCAGTGCAGCGTTGCAGTGCTGCAGTTGTCCCACGCACCTGTTGCTGGAGCTGTCTCTTATACACATCTAGATGTGTATAAGAGACAGGTGCAGCGTTGCAGTGCTGCAGTTGTCCCACGCACCTGTTGCTGTAGTGCAGCGTTGCAGTGCTGCAGTTGTCCTGCGCACCTGTTGCTGGAGTGCAGCGTTGCAGTGCTGCAGCTGTCCCACGCACCTGTTACTCTGTCTCTTATACACATCTAGATGTGTATAAGAGACAGGTCCCACGCACCTGTTGCTGGAGTGCAGCGTTGCAGTGCTGCAGTTGTCCCACGCACCTGTTGCTGCAGTGCAGCGTTGCAGTGCTGCAGTTGTCTTCCCTCTCGGACGAGTCTCTCACATTCCGCTTTAATTGCGCTCAGTTTTTCAGTCCACTCGACGGCCTCTTGAGCCGTCGGAGCGACGGACGCGTCGCCTCCGATTGCTCCTTCCGGACGAGAAATCCGCCGCTCTTCGTCGTCCGCATCTGGAGAGCAAAAGTTTTTCTGATCGAGAGTTTGGGTGGAAAGATGATCGCATGAAGTGCTTCAATTCGAGATTAAATGTCGAAATTCGTTTTAGCAGGACTGGTGAGACGTCAGAAAAAAGGATTACTTGTTGAGCGTTGAGTGAAAAACAAGCTTAGGTCTTAGATGAATTTAAATCTGATGATTCGGTAGTTCAATTTATGATTTCATTAAATTGATTTTATTGGTTTAATAATGGAGTTACTAAGAAAATAATAGCATTCATAACCACCAAATTCGAGAGAAAATTTTGAAGGCCAGCATATTTTTTTCATTTATTTCATATGCTTTTTTAAATATCTTGATCAAGACATTGGAATGAAAATTCCTCATTAAAGCAGGTCTGAATAATAAAATGAATCAAAAATTGAATCGTCTCAAGAAAATGATAGATAATACTTTCCAAGCTCGGTGAGAAAATCAAGAAACCGAAACAAAGGCGAGATGTTAAACTCAAGTGACAGCTCTGGGCGCGGCTAAGTGCTGTGTTGTACAGTCGGGCTACGAGTTCGGGCGATCAGCTGAAATAAGATATTCTTTTCTCTGCAAGAAGTAGGATCGGATCCTAATTGTGTGGAGAGTTGGAAGCAACTCGAGAAAAATGTTTAATAACTCTGTGAAACGCGGCACCTCGCTTCTAGGCCTTCTTCAAATGAATCTTGGGCATGTTAATATAAAGGTTCCCTGGCTTAGGAAATTTTAGGTTGATTCTAAAAACCTAAAAAAGCTGTGGACCAATTAAGTGATTTGGTTTTTTTAATAATTATCATACATTTATAATCACAACACATTTATTTTTACTCGCTCGCAAATTCTGTTGCACAACTGTGGACTTTTTGTGAATGTATTGTGAACATGTTCATTATTTAATTTTAATTATTTTTCCCATCAAGATCAATACCATAAGCTGACATTAGGTCCAGACGACAATTTCATCGGGCAGTGTGCCATTACTATCGAGTTGACCCTTGAAGCGGCCCGTGGTTCAGCGATAAATATTATAGAGAACAACCTTTTCCCTCGGCCGGCTGGGCGGAGGAAACAATGGTTTCATTCTGTGGTGGTTAATGCATCGAGGATTTAATCAGCCGGTAATTCGACCCTTGGTCCAGGCATAAACCATGTCAGAAACACGTGGTCGTGGCACAAACGTTTCAGCGGCCAGTCGATTCAACACCAACAATTCCACCGACCGGTGAACCTGGCACCAACAACTTCTCTGGCCTATGGGACCGGCATCAACGATTTCACCGACTGGTGCATGGTTCTCAAACCAACAATTTTACCGACTGGAGGTTCTCAACCGACAATTTCACCGACCGGTAGGACCGGCACCAAAAATTTCGCTGGCCTGTGGGCCCGGCACTAACAATTTCACCGGCCTGTGTTGGGCACCAACAATTTCACCGGCCAGGGCAAAAATGCACATACCTCCGGCGGTCATTGGGCATTCGTGGTCCAAGTCTCCGGTTTTTGTGAAGGCCGCGGCGAAGTCGAAGCCTGCGGTCGCGGTGGCCGCGCACGAAGGCAATATTGGCAGATCCTCTTCATCGGCGTCCGGAATCGCGTGACTGGAATTGTTTGGAGGCTTCGGCGTAACTTCGAGGCTAAGATGGCCAGCCCTTCCAATATTGGGGTCCTCGATTGAGCCATTCGCAGGCGCCTCGCAGGCCAGAGTGACCGCCGATGCCTTACGGTCGGAAAAACAGAACGAATTTAAGACCTCGCCGAGAAACCATTTGCTTTCATTGCGTGCAATAGATTATAGTGTATTTGCCCTTTAAACTTAAATAGTTTCTATAAGATAGTGTGCAATAATTTCTGAAGGATACTCACAGATTGTGGTGGATTGTTAACGCCGTCGCTGGGTCCTGTTGACGTTCCGTAGGTTGTTTCCATGACTATAACGTCAACATCCTCCTTCGTGTGAGCACTTTCTTTTCTGGTTTCTTCCATTTCAGCGTCGAAACAATTTAATTTATGCTCTAGATTTAATTTTTCCTCCACTAATACATTTAATTTCTCTTCTAAGTTGTTTTTTTCTTTTATGGCAAGCATTAATTTCTTAACCGCCTGCTGATTTGCCTGACATATCATTTCATTCTCTTCATTTTTTAATTGAATTTTTACATTCGCCTGCTCAATTTCTGCCTTCAAATAACTGCACTCAGCACTCGCCTGCTGAAGTTCTAACGTCAAGGACTTATTATTATCATTCGCCTGCTGGATCACTTGCTGCAGACGAGTAATCTCCCTCTGTCTGTCCGCTGCCAGACGCCTGATCTCCGTCAGCTGTCTCGCCTGCACGACTGAGGTCCCCTCCAGGCGACTGTTATCTTCCATCAGCTCCGAAATCTACGGGAATTTTGCCGAAATTGTTATTTCGAAGTACATTTATATTTATTTCTATTTATTGCATTTCTAGTGCATTTTATAAATAAATAAGTGCATAAATAAGTAGTGCATTTCTACTTATCATTCACCACCACTACCTCGTCACTACCACTACCTCGTCACCACCACTACCTCGTCACCACCACTACCTCGTCACTACCACTACCTCGTCACCACCACTACCTCGTCACCACCACTACCTCGTCACCACCACTACCTCGTCACCACCACTACCTCGTCACTACCACTACCTCGTCACCACCACTACCTCGTCACCACCACTACCTCGTCACCCCCACTCCCCCCCTCCCCACCTGCTGCTCCAGGGCGTTACACTCCGTCAGGAGGCCGAGCACGAGCGCCTGGGGGCCGTCCTCCCCGGGGGGTTTACTGCCCTCCGGTGAACCCCCACCTGCCTGGGGGGAGGGGGGAGTCATGACAACTGCTGCATCGCACCTGCAACATGTGATGATACCAGCACCTGCACCAGCCTTGCAGGTGTTGTACCTGCACCACCTGCACCATCACCCCTCTCCTTCGTGAGTGAAGACCAACAAAAACACAAGTACTTTTCTTCTTGAGTGAACACCGGGAAGAGTACAATCACCTTTCTTCCCCCACCATCACCACCACCACATCTACCACCATCACCACCCATCACCACATCTACCACCATCACCACCACCACCACCCCATCACCACATCTACCACCACCGCCACCACCACCACCACCACCACCACCACCATCGCTATGTTCGGCCAATATCCACCGCAGTTCACCACGAGGCCTGAAAACTAAATCCATCATTTAGGCTCGCTTGTGATAAATGATGAGACGGACCATTTATCATGGCAGATTTATAGGCGAATTTGGCACGTCTCATCGGCCTGTTAATTGCTTACAAAATACCTGAGGCGAAATTGCGTAGAATCAGTAAATTACCAATATAAAAAATCTCACACCCGACTATGGATATGGATCAAGAAAAGATGTAGGCCATTATTTTAGCGATTTAACACATAAGTGAACAATACCTTATAGAAGCCGCGAAAAATTTTGTGGCATATCTTAAACAATCGAAAAGGAATAGCATGACTGTTCGATTCTGGAGCGGTCGCCATCGTTACTCATATTCATGAATTATCCCACAATTCACTGAAAACACGACTTAGAAACAAGACTAAAATACGTAAAGGAAAAAACTGCAAACATTCTTAATGTATAAAATCGTTAGGCGTAAATTTCTGTTCAGAGTCTCGAGACTTTTCCGCTACATCTCAGGTCCCCGTCAGAATATTCCATTTCTTTTTAATGTAATCATCCCTTTTTACTTCCAATCATTCCAGCTCAAAATAATGTAAATCTAGACAATTTATTCCTTCCACTTCATTCACAATCCTCACCTCCATGCGGACACTCGATGTGGATGTCCTCCGCCACATCCTCGCGCGAGCCACAGGCACCCAGCCTTGTGTTATGCATCCACCTAAATCTTCCTCGGATTTTTCTACAGCATCCACCGATCCAACGGAAGTTTCTCTAGAAAAACTTCTCAAAAGATTTTCACGGCTCGATCTTTGCACAAAGTCAACCTCATTACGCGCTTTCTTATCGAACTTTTCAAACTTTTTGCATCCACTCCCAACTTGGACCATCGACCGTTCTTGTGTAGTGTCCTTGCGTTCTCCATTCCTTTCGACAGCCTCACGTGCACTCTTTTCGTCAATTTGAATAACTTTACCTTCATTATCATCCTTTTCTATTTCTCTGGTATATCTTGGTACGTTTCTGTCATTCTTAATTTCGTTTATAAATTTGACATCGCTAGAACTTTCGCCGCAGGTGCTGACTTTGCATTTGGTTTTGCAACCGTCACAGGCGCGTGCTTCATTGGTCTCATCGTCTGCATTAGTATCGATGTTCTTAACTCTTAAAGTATCTTGTTCCTTTTCTGCATTTAATTTAATTAATTTAAGGCGCTCTGACTCCAGATTCCTATCACTAAATCTTCTGCGTCCCAACTCATCTCTTTCATCGAATTCATAAGTCCCATGCTTCAAAAAGTCCCATTCTATTGCTTCTCGTCCCACTTGTGGCACGATCGTCCCGTAGTATGGCGGGACAATCTCAGATGGAGTAGGGACTGTCCCATATGGAGCATGGGTGTTCGAGTGCTCCATGTGCTCCATAAGAGCGGCGTTCTCCATACGTAAGTATTCGATCTCTTGCTTGCTCTGCTCGAACTGAAAAATTAAAACAACTTAGTTCTGTTGTGCCCTTTTTTCCTCTCTTGGAATTTCCGAAGAGATACGTACGCATTTTTCAGCTTGAAAATCTATCAACCGGCCAGTTGTCGGTGAAAAACAAACTCGTTCTCTCCTGATATTGGACACAACATTTCTAATTTTTACCAATTATCTCAGACAAAAATTAATCATACAAATAACTTACCAAAGTGTTGGTGGTGGAGGCAAATTAATATTCTAATTACGTAAAATCGTTTGGTCTAAAAGTCTAAAAAATAGCTTTAAACTAATAACACATTTCAGAATCATTTAATAAGAAAAATTGAAACTAAATTCATTAATCGTTAAATAAGAAAAAATTGCACCAGAGGAGAGGTTACATTTGTAAGCTGTCAAGCCGGACAGTTACGCCAATGCTTGATTTATAATCAGTCATGGGTGACGACAGTACTCTACTTAAAATCAGTTAAACGTTCATGTTCAATATTCGTCCAAATTTGTAAACAACGGTGCCTAATTTAATTTCATTTCTATCGCAGAAGAAGAATCATTGGTAATGGTATTGATTTCATACTTAAGATACTCGTATTAGTAGACAGTTCCATGACGAATAAACTTAGTAGCGAGGAGTCGTTGTGTTTAACACATTACGAATCAGTGTATGTTGAACGTTTGTTTATATAGGCGAAACGAGAAGTTCTGTTTGCTTGCTTTAGTTGTGAACTCTTTTTGTTAACCTAACCGGTGTTTGCAATCTCATTCCAGGCCACTTAAATATAATTTCAAATATGAGGAAACAGGTTTCTACCTCCAAACTTTTCCTCAAACCGTTTATAAATCTGAAGCTGGTATAGCCATGCCAAGCCAGGCATATTTCAATCTCAACTCAAGGGCAAGTTAGTTCAAAGCAAAGGTATTAATATGACAGCGGTTCGCAACACTCTAATGTGGTTAAGCAGGTTAAGAAAAAGCAGGTATGTTGCAACATTCATATTACACATGAGTACAAATACAACACAGGGCTGCTGCCTTGGGGCCGTACTTTCAAAACTCGCTAAGTGAACGTAAGCACTTACGCTCTATTTTCTTGTCTATGATTGGTGGATTTTGCTTGAAAAGCCGTCAATGATTGGCTGATGAACTTACGATCTCTTAACTTTTTTTGAAAGTATAGGCTCTGGTCTCTATATAGCTGCTCGCTTGCACATTAATGACAAACTGGTTAACTCGGCTGCCTGATTAATCAACGTTAAACAATTATAAAAATAACGCAGTTAATGGTCGCCTGAAAAATATAACAACTTTGGTACAACAAAATCGATACATTTATACAAATACACGAACAAACAAAATACAAGGAGGAAAAATTTATAAATTCTATTGACTCAAAATTTGGTGTTATTTCATTTCATGAACACGTGTCCTTCATATTTGATAATAATTAAAAGCTCTGCAAAATAACATTTTTCTTGTAACTTGAGAACAACGCATATGAAGGCGAAAAACAATTATAAAATATATAAGTATTAATCACCGTAATAACTCCATATTATTGGAGACACAATCAATGCTGAACACGATGGAGATGACATAGTAAATATAATTAATGGAAAAATCACGAGAACATGTTTTTTTTGTACTGGAAATGATCATCCAAAAACACAAGACATTAATTAAGGCGACATAAGCTTGACGCAAAACTTATTAACATCACGCAACGGGGTTATAAGGACAATAGATTTACTGGAAGAAGAGATTCAGGTACAAGACTACGCTCGTGTTAAAGCTGTCAGTAACGTCGCAATTGATAGTCACTTGATTTGGAGAACTTTAACGCAACACTGATGTAGATATTGAGAGATACGCGTAACTTAAATGGATGTCGAGTAGATGGCCACCGATGGCATGCGCATCCACGAGCACTGATGGCATGCGCATCCATGAGCACTGATGTCATGCGCATCCATGAGCACTGATGGCATGCGCATCCATGAGCACTGATGGCATGCGCATCCACGAGCACTGATGGCATGCGCATCCATGAGCACTGATGTCATGCGCATCCACGAGCACTGATGGCATGCGCATCCATGAGCACTGATGTCATGCGCATCCACGAGCACTGATGGCATGCGCATCCACGAGCACTGATGGCATGCGCATCCACGAGCACTGATGGCATGCGCATCCGCGAGCACATCCACGAATTGGCACGTTCAACAGACGTTTAATTACATTACTATCAAGTAAATCCAAGTGCCAAGTTACTTTTCTACTAAAAATAACACCAATTTACAAATTCCCCGGATTTTAATTATTTCGAGAATCACTCCAGCTATCATCACGACTGTACCAAGTTTCGGTCACGGCAGGCCCGATCGAATCTAAAACGTACGCCGCTATCCTAAAGAACACTGATTGCTGACACGACTATCAACTTACGATACTTGACTACTATTTATTGTTCAAATCTATTTACCACAGACATCTAGGCTATACGGAAGGCATAAATTGCAGGTCCGTTAACTATTAAAACATATTTCTATTGTTTAGATGGCGCATAAAACATCTTGTTGAGCTAGCAACCAAGCACACGATGACACACCCCGGATACCCTGAGAGAGTCGGACTTTTGCACACACCAGACGCTCACAAGTTCGTGGCGATGTTCAGAAATAATATGTGTTAGGGAGATCTGAACGCCGTGGCGGTAGATTGTGTGGCAAGTGGCATATGAGGCGTGTGTGGCAAGTGGCATATGAGGTATGCGTGGCAAGTGGCATATGAGGCCTGTATGGCAAGTGGCATTTGAGGCGTATGTGGCAAGTGGCTTAATCACCAATCGACCCGAGGAAGAACTGCTAACAATCAGCCTTCAAAAAATACTTCATTACTACATGTGAAATAATATTTACATTATATTAAATATTGCGCGGATATTGAGCAGCAATCGATAAGTTCAATCGATAGGTCGATCTAAGAATTTTACACCGAACAGAACCGATGGCTTCTTCTTTATTCAAAAATCAGACTTGCGCTATAAAACATGAATGGATTGCATTTAATTATTCATCTTTCCTGAAGGAGCAGGACTAACGCCTTGTTGACGTTTGTGCCGTACCGTATTTCAAGCAAACGATTCTTCAACTAAAGTTAATTCGGTACATTTAATGAATTGTTCGATTAATTAATTGTTCAAATTATTTATTTAAATTTGTTAGTTTGATAATTCAATTAAATTTTGGAAATGGTAAGGTTCAGATATCTAATATTTCCCCTTGCTTGGCATATAATGAATTGTTCAATTAATTAATTGTTCAAATTAATTATTTAAATTAGTTAGTTTGATAAATTTAATTTAATTTTGGAAATGCTAAGACTCAGACATCTAAAATTTCCCCCTGCTTAGCGTCCGGCTTCCTGCACGGGATGACATAGTCGCGCGGTCGTCGGAAGAGTTCAGGTCCGCGGTAGCCACTCCGCATTGTCAACAAACTTGGATGCAGAGTTTCGTGAGGAACAACTCCGTTCGTGGGAAAAATATTACCATTTAAATTCGGTGCATGAATATCTGGTGACAATGACGAATGATTCGAGGCAAACATGGTGCCATTCGCAGTCGTGTTGCTTGCCACAGCACCGTTGTGTAAAAGTAAAGAGTTATTGATGTATTCATAATTTTTGGGTGCATAGGATGGATCATGGCTCGACACACTCGAACCGTGCGGTGAATATGGAGAAGCAAGAGCATCGAAAGAATGACTTTGCTCACAGCTCAGGGATAAGTTTTGAATGTCGTGCGCAGAATTGAGATTGTCGGAATAGATGGGAGTGATGGCTGGGTAGTCGAGAGAGGGGGCGCGGTAAGGGAAAACATTGTTGTTGATGATGCCCTCGGTGTGCTTAACCTGGAACATCGCGACGCTGCTTGCAACTACACACTCTGTGTTAGTATCATTAGCCCTCAAATCGTTGCTTACATATTCATAAGGTGCAATGTTAGGGTCTAATTTAGTACAGTTGTTGATAGTTTCAACACCGTCATGTTTACTTGAAGCAATATCATCTTTATTTATAATCGGCACATTAGCTGGTAATCTGTCACAGCCACTAGGAAGCTTTTGTCCAGCCCCATTATTCATATTACTAGCGTCACCACATTCATGTGGTGCAGTCAAATCTCTTCGAGATTCGACGCAGTCACTGCCGTGACATTCATACTCGTTTGCAGTGACTGTCACAGGCTGAGGCTGAGTAGTGATGGGAGCTTCTGAACAGCTATCGGAAATTTTATTATTTAACACTTTAGGTTTTGTGGGAGCTATGGACGCGCTAACAGAATTTGTTATCTCTGAATTAGAATCTTGCTGTTTGAGTTCCGTAACAGAAACATTAGTGATAGTATGAGGGATATTAGATGGCAGTTTATTTATTGGAGGAAATTTGGAGGAATTTTGTTGATATTCAGAAGATTTTGTCAGACATTTCTCGTTGGCAGCGTTGCCAACATAACTTGAGCCTGACGTAAGTGCTGCGTTAGTATCGGACGGTAATTTAAAAACTTGGCACTGAGTGTCGTCATTATTCATCGTCAAGAGACCATGGTCAGGAGTCGTCTGCCGTACACTCTGGTCATGGGTGAGTTGGGTGACGTGCGTCACACTATGGGACGTGTTAGTGACAGGCAGCACAGGACGATGCTGGGGGCTATGATGGAGACTCACTTCTTCGTCCAGCTGAGCCCTGAGGACGTCGCACGTCTGCTTCGTCGTTACTAGCGCCTCCTGCAGCGACGATATCGTCACGCGTTGTTGCGCCACCTGCCCACGTCGACGTTCTTAATGTTACGTCGATTTGTTAACTATGTCAAATTAAATAAAACAATCAGAAAACCGACAAAATTTGTGGAAAATTGAATGCATATAAACAAAAAAAATTAATGGAAAGTAAACAAAAATTTAAGAAATGGAATTTCTTTAACCCCACACAAGCAACAAAATCCAGGCTACCACTGACGAAAACTTAAACAAAATTACCACACACGAACATTACAAGCCAAACGATCTCCGAAAACTAAACCTTACAGACGAATTTGAATATCAAACGCAGGCAAACACCAAAACTCAAGCTACCACAGATGAATACCAAAACTGAAACAAAACCGGCAATCGAGGTTTTGAATAACCCATTCTTGCATACAATTTCGGACTGCAGTTTAGAGGTTAACAGGTCGCTGTTACAGCTCAATCGTCCCTTTCCCTCACCATCATCACCATCGCTCCATGCTCCTTATGAGGGGATGCAATAAACCGGCCACTGACCACCAAGCAACCGGTAACCTCACCTAACGGTTCGCATTCAACATACTTGTCTCACCTACCATGACCGGAAGCTGAATATGTAAACAGCTGCCCAATTGGCTGCGAAGCAATGCTCGAGGCGGGACGGGATTTATGACCAACGGCAAGTTCATCAAAGTTTATTTAATAACTTATTCAACAACTAGTCTACTACGGAGCTAAAACACAGAGGAGAGAGAGTGCGAGCTAGCTAAGGGACTAATTTCTTGACCCTAGAAGAAAAATAAACATCGTAAGTACACTGGTAATTCAGATGCCAGTTGACCACCCTACCAACGGCCTTACATGACACATTGTTTCTTCATAATATAAGCCATCTATCAGTAAACACACACAAAGTCACAGTAACAGTAACTCGAAATACGGTAACACATAATCCAGTAACAGTATTTAACAGTAACGCAAAATGCAGCTCCCCTAGGCGACTGAACAGGTAATCCCCTGTAAGCGAGGCACCAACACGCAAGTCGGGATTGACACAGCTACTATTACCAGCCTCGGCCTACATCAGCGCCGGTATACCTAATTTCTGCGGTCTGAATACAAGTAGGGAATTTGCAGCCTACACACACATTACAGGGGAAGAACTTCGTTTTTTACAGAACTCAGAGCTTCAGATAAATAACATTACTAGTTAGTTTGAGAGCAATCGTGTGTTGAAGTGAGCAGCAGTTCTGGACCAGAACGTGCAGCGCAACTCGCATTCATCCTCCTGGAGGCGAGCATCTGCTATCCGAACAACAGCAACACGAGAGGTACAAACAAACTTTGAACCACCTGCTAAGCTGAACCACCTGCTAAGTTGAACCACCTGCTAAGTTGAACCACCTGCTAAGTTGAACCACCTGCTAAGTTGAACCACCTACTAAGTTGAACCACCTGCTAAGTTGAACCACCTGCTAAGCTGAACCACCTGTTAAGCTGAACCACCACCATAATAGCATCCATAACTACCTGTTGAGCCAGCTGCTGGGCGTGGGAGTGAGCACGAGCCAGCTGCTGCTGGAGCTGCACCAGCTGTTGCTCCAGGTACTCGCTGCGCTCCTGGCGCTCGCACAGCTGGGCCCTCACCGACACCAGCTGGCGCTCCAGCTGCCCAGTCAGCCTCAAGAATTAATTACTTCATTGGAAATTATAAATAATCCAAAATTTGTTAGTTATTCAGCATTTCATCCATCGGCGATAATCATTTATGTGAATAATTGAATCTATAATTTGTAATGTAACTAATAGATCTGGGATATATTGCAACTGCAGCGCCAGCATTTCGGGTATTAAAGAGAAGATTATACGTCGAAGACAAAGCAGAAGACGAAGATAAAGGTAAAACAGGGGGATTAAGGATGAAGGATAGAGTAATAGGATAAAAAATAGAGTTAGAATGAAGGATAGAGTAATAGGATAAAAAATAGAGTAAGAATAAAGGATAGAGTAATAGGATGAAGGATAGAGTAAAAGGATAAAAGAAAGAGTAAGGATAAAGGATAGAGTAATAGGATAAAACATAGAGCTAGAGAATAAGTTAGTCACCTTGGTGACAGTAGCGTCCCGGAGAGCGCACTCGTGTCGCGCGGTCGCCAGGTGTCCCTGCAGCTCCCGGACCAGTATACTCTTCTCCGACACCTGCTACCAGGGTTTAATTAATTACCTTAATTAATTATTAATTAATTTAAATAATTATTTTAATTAAAGCATGCCTGCTACATCGCATAGCATATGAGCCCACACCATGACAAGTGGGTGATGGGGCAGTGATGATGATGGGGCGGAGATGATAAAGGATGGGATGATCCTGTATACAACGACACTAAACTAAGCTCCAATAAATAATCCCATATTAATGGCCACAGCTCTATGCATTAATAAGAAATATTTTATTCATCACAAACGTAAGATAAATAATAAATAATTCTAAGACGAGGAAAACGAGAAGCAAGGATGTTCTTGTACATCAACTCCGAGCTTTCTTACAATAGATAAATCAAGAAGCAGTAATGTTTATCATTGCCAGAATATTGACAAAAGATTTTCATCATCACAGTACTGACTGATGGTCAACATTATCATACGAATGGTCATCATTATGCCAGTAATGACAATCATTACAATATTAAAACAATCATTACAATATTATAACAATCATTATAATATTATAACTGTCTCTTATACACATCTAGATGTGTATAAGAGACAGCATTACATCTGGGGACATTACAACCATCTGGGGACATTACAACCGTCTGGGGACATCACAACCATCTGGGGACATTACAACCATCTGGGGACATTACAACCATCTGGGGACATTACAACTGTTTGGGACCTTATAACCATCTGGGGACATTACAACTGTTTGGGACATTACAGCTGTTTGGGACATTACAACTGTTTGGGACCTTACAACTGTTTGGGACCTTACAACCATCTGGGGACATTACAACCGTCTGGGGACATTACAACCGATCTGGGGACATTACAACCATCTGGGGACATTACAACTGTTTGGGACCTTATTACAACCGTCTGGGGACATTACAACTGTTTGGGACCTTACATCTGTTTGGGACATTACAACTGTTTGGGACCTTACAACTGTTTGGGACCTTATAACCATCTGGGGACATTACAACCATTTGAGGACATTACAACCATCTAGTGCCGTAACCTACGTAGCAAAGCTCTATCTCATATATGTACAAGTCTAGCTAATTTCTATATCTTCAGAGCACATCTTATGCCGAAATCTACGTAGCAAAGCTCTATCTCATATATGTACAAGTCTAGCTAATTTCTATATCTTCAGTGCACATCTTATGCCGAAATCTACGTAACAAAGTTCTAGCTAATTCTAATTTTAACTAATAGCTAGAATTTCTAGCTAATAAGTCTACACTGTTAGAAAAAACGGTGAAAAACAGTCAGATAGCTGTGGTTTCTTGCAGTCCATTTCACGTTATTTGGCATAACGTGACATTAACTTCTTTGTTAAATTTAAGCGCGAGGTGGCGCCACAGTCGACAGTTGAGATCACATCTTGGCGCCATCTTGAGTAGAAGCCTGTATTGTTTCGTGCACATAATTAAGCCTACTTATTGCAGGTGTCGCATGATTTATAAAAGTTATTTACTTGGTGTTTTTTGTGCAAGTTTTAGGTATTCTGGTGTGCAACTGAGGTGTATTATTTTAGTTTTGACATCACTGTCCAGTGTCCAATGACATCGCTGTCGAGTGTCGACCATTGTCGCCGTGCGGCTTAGTCGAATTGTCATGGCCTGTCGCCCCTTTATAATCTTCAGACAAAAGTTTAAAGCTTACGACATACTATTTATGTCGTANCTGGTCCCTGCACTACCTCGTCCCTGCACTGCCTCGTCCCTGCACTGCCTCGTCGCAATTTATTCCTCTTAACAAAATCCGCTACTTAATGAAATGAGTTTCATAATAAATTTCTGCAAAATATATATTATATCAATTCATAATATTAATATAATATAAGCAAACAAATTAAGTTGTAATAATGACAAGAAACACGTACGGCTTCCGCGTCTTGTAGGGGCGTGGCGCTCCTGCTGGTGATCTGCTCCTGCAGCTCCCGGGAGATGCGCAGCGCCTGGTCAGGGCAGGGGAGTTGGTCATGACCAGGGTGTTAATAAGATATTCACCCCTTCAGCCCCTCGGTTAATGAGACCTTCAGCCCCTCAGATAATGAACCCTTCAGCCCTTGCCCCAAAATTCAGCCCAAAAAAGGGCTTTCTCCCTAACACATACCTCGAGCAACCCTCAGGAAATCAATGTTCCCCCCCAAGCTACACGAACCCAGAGTTCGTTTACAAACAACAACCCCAAGGCCATGCTGAAAGCACCACCTTCAACAGAGACCAAGCACCATTCACCAGCAACAGCGAGAAATAAGCTATGAACTTCCCAAGGTTCGAACCCACGACTAGCCTCTTTCATTTCGGTACCGCTACCACGGCGCATACAGTGGCCAGTTCCAACCCTTTTCCCTTGACCCCCACCCCTCAGACAGCCTCACCCTCATGCCTCTCCCCCTCTCTGTCTCTTACCTCGTGCAGCTCCCTGTGCAGTCTCTGAACTGCCGCGTCGCAAGTCTCGTGGCTCAGCTCGGTCTCGCTCGCCCGCTCCCGCAACACCGCGCACTCGCCTCGCAGTCTGCTCGCTTCAGCTCGCGCTGTCTCGCACTCGCCGCGCAGTCTGCTCGCTTCAGCTCGTGCTGCCTCACACTCGCCGCGCAGTCTGCTCGCTTCAGCTCGCGCTGCCTCGCACTCGCGTTCAGCGTCAGCGAGTCGCGCTGCCAGGGCGTCGATGTTGACAGAGAGCTGAAGCTCGGCCTGGTCAGCGCTGCAGCGTCTGCTGTCGTCAGCTGCATCAGTCTGCTCAGAGTCGACACTATCTTATGACGGTGAAAACCTCTACTTAAAACTGGACCTGAATGCTCAAACTGAGCAATTCATAATCAAAAACATTTACACAAAGAACAAAGGTTTCTATAGGTGCTTGTACGCGAGAAAGTTTTAGTCGATAGTATTAGCGGCTAATATTACCAGATAGTAATTTTTAGGCTAATTTATTCATTCATTGGAAAGTAGCAAGAGAAGTCAAAAGAATTTGAGTTCGTTGCATCAGCGCCATCAGCCCGCGAGTATTAAGGTGTTGTTTGCACATGGGGTTAGTATTAGCTGCGAGTTGTCACACTACCAGTTTTGCCGGCTGAGAGCCTTTACACGAGGAGAGTATTTGGTAAACAATCCGCAGGGGCCAGACTGCCAGTGCATCGTTGGAAGCCGTCGAGTGAGGTTAGTGCGTGGTGGAATATGGAACGTAACGGTTGTGACGAGTTTGAGGAGGCGTTTGGTTAAACAGTTGGTGGCATAGCTGCTACTCTTGCTGGGGAAGTGAAAATTTTTGAAAATCAGCGTTAAGTGTGGGTGAGAGACCTAATAAGGTCTCGTTTAAGTTTCAAAGAACTACTTTTCCAACTGGTTTTTGTTAGAATATTCATTGAGACGCACATTCCACAGTTGATCGCATTTTTATAAGAGTAGTTAAATATCGTCTGAATACCTCTTGACGTTGTTAGAACCATCGTTGCTGAGACAAAACATAATTCATAACATTAGAAACACTTGCCCCAAGCAGGATACAGAGAGGCACAGACGTAAACACTTCGGCTGCCGCAACGCTACTGCCGAGTGCCGATTGCCGATCCTAGACTGCAAATTCCTAGACTGCCGATCCTAGACTGCCGATCCTGAACTGCTTCACAGGCAAGCGTATCAGCTACTCGCATGATCGCATCTGAATCATCTCAATATTTGGAGTGTATGGTGTATAAGCCCCAAGTAACCCCCGGTGTATAACTTTATAAGCATCTGTGGGGCTCAAGCAGCCGTGGTGTACAGGTTTGTGTAGCTCCGTAACTTCACGAAACAAAAGTCGACGATGTTCCAAAGTTATTTCTCCATTCTATTCAGTTTTCCACCTACAATCTACGTTTATTGATTGCATTTTGTAACTCCTCAGATAGACTTGTAACTATTTCACTGACTACTTCATCAACAACTTCCTTTTCGTTTCTCGTTTTCATTCACAACTATACGGCTTCTACTGACGAACTGGCAGCGGCAGGTGCAGATGAGAAAAGACAGTAGAAATGGATAAAACTTTCCCCGCGTACAAGCAGATTATATAACACGTATAACAAGAAAAATCAACTGCGGATAAGGGATAGAACTGAGTGGCTACATGGCGTGGTTCAGGGGGAATTACGAGATTGAAGTAGGGAGCGAATTTTAGACAAAAAAATTGAGTCATGCTTGAATTTTGGAATACTGATGAATATGATGAACAAGTAATTTCCCACGACGCAGAGGCGATTTAATATCTGTGAATTTTTTAGAAGAGAATACATAAAAATCCTAACACCAAAAAATAGTAAAATATTAGCAAGGCCCCGCATGATCGCATCAATTCATCCCGGGCTCAGTGCCAACCTGGACGTCAGAAAGAGAGGAGCGCGTCTCGGAAGCTCCTGCCAGTCTAGGGAAGGGGTCGGTGCAAGGGGCGACGCTGGGGGACATAGACCCCTTCAATCCGCAGCTGGGGGTCGTACTCCTGCACAGACTGCAATATTTAAAAGACTAATAATACAATATATATGGCTTTTTTTACCAAGCTTGATATTTTCACGCAAAAATATCACGCCCGTAACTCGCTGGCAGTGATCCTGCACTGCCATCGTTAAGACGCAAGTGTCACCAGCAACAGCGGGCAGCAATACTATTCTTACTTGAATTCTACGTTGCAGGGGGTTGAATCTGCTTAGCAATGCTATTCCTACATGCACACTCCGTAGTACGAGGAAGTAGGAGGATCAGCTTACCCAGAAACCGGGACGCCGGCAGCGAGCAGCTGCTCAGGAGACACGCTGAGGAGAGCGATGTCGTCGAGACGCCAGTCCCCGTCCCGGCTAGCGCGGGACACCACCTGGGGATAGGGGTGAGTGGGGAACGTGAGTAGCGGGGTAAAATGGGGTATTGGGGGACCCGGGCAATGGGGGAAAGGGAGGTAATAGGGGGACACGAGTAGAGGCGTTAGGGGTGAATGGATGACCTAAGCAGCGGGCTGGAGGGGATGTAGGGGAGCCTAAAAAACAGAATGGGGGACCTGAATAAAGTGCTGAGTTGGGGAGCAAGGAAAATGCCACCCACTCATCAGTCGTGACGGGGCAAAACTCACATCTACAGCCGTAACCCATGCATGGTTTATCCTACCGCGTGTTACGTGACTCTTGGGAACCTGGGCAGCAAAGAAACCCACTCATCAGGGGTGACGGAGAAATACATCTACTGCCGTGACCCATGCATGGTTTATCCTACCGCATGTTACGTGACTCACGTGCAACAACGTGTCCACGTCTGCACGTAGGTTGCAGTTGTATGTCTGGCAGAGCTGCAGCTGCTCTGTCAGCTGCAACACGCGCCCCTCAGCTGCCTCCCTGCCTGCCAGCGCCTCCAGCACCTGTACAAACATCTGCCGTTAACAGCTGTAGTAGCATTTTAATTGAACGCTTACGGTGGCTTATACGACTGTATCTGCCACAACCGTAAACTCATTAGTCATTACAGCCACAAACACTGCCCTATACACAGTATACAGCCGTAGGTATACGTCACACCCAGATGTGTATTGAAAGCTTCGTATCAGTTTCTGCACCTCCTCTATTAAAACTTCAAATTCAAGATTTCATCCCGGCTACATCAGAACCTAAGAATAACCAACATTAGGGGCTATAAAACTTGCAATGCAATATACCGCCAGCTGCATATGGAGTCATGACATATAGAATTATATTATATCGAACTGCCACAGACATTCATCAACTTCTGATATACAAATGAAACCAAAATTTTGCCTCAGTAATTTTGTAATATCTTAAATAACCTAAAGCGCACTTAGAGTGCATTTAATGGATGTTAGTTAAATGTATATGATGCTAGTTAAATATATATATCAGAGCGTGACTAATTAGATGCGTATCGCTATCCATTAAAAATCTACGAAAAATTGACTTATTTTCGCAATAAAAAGCATCGTATCCCACAAAACGCGGCAGGCTACATGCAAATCTCTCGACGATCCCGCTACGGAGATTTAATACGACAGTTATTCCTATAATATTGATGAACTACAGTAAAAAATATAGAGATCTGACGGAAGTTATTTCGTGTTTTCTCGCTGCCTGACATGTAGTGGAAAAATTATTCACGATAATCGTCTTGCGTGAGCTTCAGGACGACTTATTCAAGTGAGTACAGTTGTTTCTATAGACCGCAGCATGAGTCGCTGTGACTCAAATCAACCCTTTAATGGACTGATGCTGGGTTCACCTCAAGTAAGTCATCCTGACTCACTTATTTTGCTGCGTGTAGAACAGCTCCCAGAATTACACTGCGTGTTGAACAAGACACTCGCTGCATGAGCGCCACTCATGACGGCAATGAGTATAGACTCAACTTTACTATGCACTATGAGTATAATGTGAATTTCTATTGAATGTTGGAATAGAAATGAACTGAAATAATTATCAATAACAAAAGTTTAAAAAAATTAGCGAATTTGTCTAAATAGAAGGCTCTTGTCTGAAAACTAATTCCATTTGAAATGATGCTTGAAAGGTTATCAAGAGGAAGGTTAGCCGGTTATCAGGACGAAGGTTAGCAGGAGGAAGGTTAGCAGGAGGAAGGTTAGCAGGAGGAAGGTTAGCAGGAGGAAGGTTAGCAGGAGGAAGGTTATCTGGACGAAGGTTAGCAGGAGGAAGGTTAGCAGGAGGAAGGTTAGCAGACCTGCTGGCGCTGCAGAGTGAGGGCCTCAGCAGTGCTGTGGCAGGATGGCTGCAGCGTCCTAAGGGAGTCCTGGAGGATAGATACCCTCGTGGCGGCCTCCCCCTCCAACTCCCCCAGCGTCCTAACCAGCACGGCGTTCTGCTCCCCCAACTCCCCCAGCCACCTCTCCAGCAGCGACACCTTCGTCTGGGGGAGTGGGGAAAGATAAGCTTTAATTATCTTGTAATTAATTAATCTTAATTAATTACAAGATAATTAAATAATTAACAATTGTAATTATTATCTTGTAATTTATTTATCTTGTAACTAAATTATCTTGTGTAGTAAGAGCATAACTTGTATAAAATAGGTTATTTTTGTGACAAAAAATCGAGATAAGTAAGAAAATGGCAGAGAGTTCTCCGAATTTGAGTTGTAATTGTCTCGGATATCTTCTTCGTAGGCCGAATGTTTTATTTGTTATTAGGCCTGTAGATAATTTGTAAGAAATGTGATATTATAAAATCCCATGTATGAGGCTATCGTCATGGCCTCGATATGGCCTTTCAAAAAGTACATCTGCGACGCCCATGACCAGGAAGAAGTTTTCATCCTATTTACAATGCTGTTCTTACCAAGACCACCAAATTAAGTCGAAATAACTACTCTAGAGCGAGGTTTTAAATCTTATACAGTGAAGGAAGCGGTCATGAAATGTTACGTCAGTTTCTCGTGGTTAATCAATAACAAATGATGACTACATCATTTGCAGCAAAATTCGAGCTGGGGCGGAGACATCACAACCGTCTGGGGACATTACAACCGTCTGGGGACATCACAACCATCTGGGGACATTACAACCATCTGGGGACATTACAACCGTCTGGGGACATCACAACCANTGTCTCCTTATGTCTCGCTATTCTCCTTATGTCTCGCTATGTCTCCTTATGTCTCGCTATGTCTCCTTATGTCTCGCTATATCGCCTTATGTCTCAATATGTCTCGCTATGTCTCCTTGTGTCTCGCTATGTCTCAATATGTCTCGCTATATCGCCTTATGTCTCGCTATGTCTTACTATGTCCCCTCACGTTTTGCAATGTCTCCTTATGTCTTGCTATGTCTCCTTATGTCTTGCAATGTCTCCTTATGTCTCGCTATGTTTCCATATGTCTCGCTGTGTCCTTATGTCTCGCTGATGTCTCGCTGTCTCCTTATGTCTCGTTATGTCTCGCTATGTCTTCTTATGTCTCGCTTTGTCTCCTTATGTCTCCTTATGTCTCGTTATGTCTCGCTATGTCTTCTTATGTCTCGCTTTGTCTCCTTATGTCTCGCTATGTCTTCTTATGTGTGGCTATGTCGGATTACAATAGTCTGTATGAAAGAAACTGTAGGAAGCCGTAAAGTACAAAACGGGCGTACCGTTTTCGTGCAGGAAAACGTTCCCGTCGTTTAATTTAACGGTAAATGACCGGTCACTATAACGCCGGTGGGAACGTTTTTTTTACGGTCGATTTTCTAACAGTGTAGCTAATTTCTATATCTTCAGAGCACATCTCGTGTCGTAGCCTGCTCAGCAAAGCTCTACGTGTGCCAGCAGGTGCCACTGCTAGCTGCCTTGGCACGCCATTGCGAGGTGTTTTTTTCTGACGCGCACTTACATATACTGTATACTGGCATGCACTGCCATCGTTGCCATGGTTACGACCATCAGTTCAAATATAATGCACAATATTCCTAAGTTAAAATATGAATAAGGTCACAGCAATATTTGGAATTCTTATACAATTGTGCGACTCTAAGGAAAACTGAACAGGAGAACGCAACTTACACGAGAGTACACGAAGAGATACCGTTACAATTTTCAACAATATGCTTTTGTGGTCAAAAGAGGGGTATCAAAACGTAACACAAGATTGCGAACAAATGAATTAAGTCTTGATTGATGTAGCTTGGTTGGGTTAGTCCCGTATAACTCGAGAAATACGGGCTATATAATATCAATATAAGAGGCGGGGTTCCTAAAAATATCAATGCAAATTGCAATCCGTAATCTGATTAATACGGGCTAACGTTCACGAATATCGTTGCAACTTGGATCGCATTGACATTCATTCTTTCCTTTTCAGATACGCATTTAATGTGTAGTGCAGCTTGATTTATAGATTATATTCAGTGAGATTAATATGAATGAGGTGGGATGTTATTCATTCCACTACCCACACAGGCCACACTGCTTTGTGTAAGTCGATCCTGATCCAACAGAAAGTGTCTGCGTAGAACGAATAAATATAAGAAATTATACTAACTAATAATAACGAGTTATAGCGTGAATCGAATGCTTTATTCTGGTTCGGATGCATAGATGTTTGTGACGCATGTCTTTATATGTAGTTTTACGTATACACTTATGAAAAAATAGCATAAAAATATGTGAGGTAAGCATCCAAACATTTCGAAATTTTTAACGAAAAATCTTTATTTTCGCAGAAAACAGTCGTCAGTTTCAAATTTTAAATGAAATCGTTCTAAATTATACTAGCCAATGGCCTGGAGGCATAGCTGCATGATGAATTGAATGAATTAAAAAGTTGAGAGATAAGGTTGAGTGGCGCGGGCAGCTGTGCGTCAGTTGATAAGGGGGTGTAGATAACGAGCCGCTGGCATGCGGCCTTCTCAGCCGGACTTGGAAAATATATCAATATGATCGCTAATAGCTCAATCAAATTTAAACTTACGATCAAAGCTAAATTTACGATTACATATAGTTAAATTTACGATCAAAGTTAAATTTACGATCAAAGTTAAATTTACGATCAAAGTTAAATTTACCTTTATGCGAATTGAGTTTACAGTTAATCTAGCGATGATCTTTAATTGCACGCTTCAAACACTAATCTTGCGATCAACGATAATCTTAAGATCATCAAATATCATCGATGATCTTAAGATTATAATCTTAAGATCATCTATGATGAACATCATCAATGATCTTAAGATCACAGATAAACTAACGTTCATCACTAATCCTTCGCTCATCGCCAATCCTACGCTCCTTACTTGTGTTTTTTTTTGTTCTCCTGCACGCGATTGAAGTAAGTAATATATAAGTAATATAAAAAAATATATATAAATATATAATATATAGTATATATAAATATAAATATAGTAAATATAACATATATATATAGTAATATATAACAGTAAGTAATATATAACACTTTGATTTTCAATGGTATACTCATGGCCAAAAATACGACGATTGTTAAGCATACGACGTTCATATAAAGTTTACGCCTGGCCACAGGACTCCTGCAGCTCCTGCCACCAGCGCCCCCAATAATTTATTCATCCCGTCAGGGGCAGGCAATCGAAGCCTTCGATTGTCTGGCTCTGTCATGGCCTGGAGGTTGGGAGGGAGTGGGGCACCGCAAGCACCACAGTGGCGGACAGTTCTTAACTGATCATTAATAGTTAAGCGTATTTTGAAATTAAATAATTGTATTAAAGTGCAGTGTTGATGGACTTATTTTGTATTAATTTAAATAATTTAATTAATACAAAATTCAGAGATTAATACAAAAATCAATACAAAATTTATGTTTCACTTTCACTTTGGTTGTACATTAGTTAGATTTTCAGACGTTAAGTTGGATAATAGATTGTCTATGCGAACTGGGGAAATCATTGCAATGGAGCCTTTGCTTCACCGGGTTTGTTTCAATTTAGGCAGGTACGCTTGTCGAATAATAATAATTTATTCTAACAAGAACGAGTGACCAAATTACATCAATAAAAAAAAACGGAAAAAAAATAGATGTCGAATTTAACGGTTCTACAGGGTGATCTGTTCGTATCTGCCGAACAGATCCGTTCGGCCCTACTAGAGTGATCTGTTCGGCATGTAACAGATGTAACAAGCCAGGATACGCTTGTGTTATATCACTGCACGAAGACGTCAGTGAAGAATTGTAACGTACGATATCGTAACCCACGACCCTACATATTAAAAATAATAATACATAAGAACTGGGGCTAATCGCTTCACCACGTACATAATGGAATTACAATATGATCAAGTAATAGCCGATTAATATGAGATATGTGTAACAAATTCTATTGCATGACTTAATTTGATCTAATGCAACTTCTTACCAGTAAAAGCAGTGTTGGCCGACTTATAAGCAAAGGATATAAATTAAGGGCGAATAGTTTCAATAGTCTACGGTGCCTGGAAACGGGTTGTTCACTGGAGAACTGCTTGCTAACGACTAGCCCGGGCACGGTCTATATCTAATGATAGTCGGTGTCTTCCAACACTTTATTTAAAACCTTGCAACTATTTTATTGAGAATAGAGAATAGTCTCAAAAAAATAATCATGAGCATTAAGCATAATCTTATCTTAATGATGAGTATAGATCAGATCTCGTATGATAATCCAACATAAATGCGAATTTACGACAAGTGAACGCTGGCGATTTAGGGTTCACCGACATGTGAATCTTGATGATCGAATGTAAGATTAAAATTTTATTTACATTTAATTTATTGAATAATTTATAAAAATTGTTCACTGCATTTTGATCCTTGAATTGAGTCATGGTTTAAGTTCTAAACCCAAAACTAAGCGCTGTTGTGAACGGAGAACGTGGAGCAGCCTTCGCTCGAGCCAGCTAAGTCCATCATACGTTTAGCTCCTGTAATCCTGCTATTGTTTTAGATCCTTCGTCATTTTTTCTCGAACAAGGATTCGTGTCACGCAAGTCTGGCAGCAGTCACGCAGTGCGTGTACGGGGAGCGCTGAACAACCTTCACGCTTGTCACGAATTATAAATGTTAACTACGAGCGAAATTCATATGAGAATTCGATGTATACATAATTATAATATCAGATAATACATCTAATACATTATGCTTATTATAATGTATTATAAGAAATAATATGTATTTTGATAATTGTGTATTAACTATTTATACATAAATTATTTATATTAACTTATAAAATTTCGTTTAAAATATATAACATAGTTCATAAGTGTAATTTCTCTAGATTCTACAAAGAATGTGCCCAATTAAATTCCACCGCTAAAAACTCAACTTCACGCCCATAATCCTTTCAACCAGATTAAAGAACGACAACATTCTGCCGCAGCCTATATTACACAGCATGAATATAAGTTCTTTCTTGAATACAGATTAGCGAAGGTCTTTATGAAGCAAGAATCGAAGGCACGAGCAATTTTCTCGCAAGAGCTGAATCACTAGAAAAAAGGTTAGGAGTTCAATTTTATTTGTTTTCATTGGATTAATTAAAATATATAACTTAATTGCAAAAAGCAATATAATATAATATATAAAGCAATATAATATAATATAATATATAATATAATTGCAAAAAGCAATATAATATAACTTAATTGCAAACTCGATCTAAATAAAGCGCTCTCTCGCGTGACTGCACGCCGTCATAAGTCTATACGATATATTTTCTATCTTTAAAACACAAGTGCATTAAAGGCAAATCTTTTACCAGTTACTAAAGTTCAAGACACTCGTTAAGAAATGGGGTTTTCAAACCCAAAAGAATAGGCTGAAAACAACTAGACTTTCATCGGCTCAGTAGTTATTATTGAACTGACGAGATATATCCAAAATTCTTAACATATAAAGTGCTGCTACTGAATTATTGAGGCAAGCTTCCAGTTATTAAGGAAGCCTGTATTGCATCACAATGATACGAAGAATGTTAACAGAACGAAATGTTCGCCTTATTAACCAACCTCTGAACATTTAATCCGATCTGCTACAGGCATTTTAAATTTTTACCCTCTTCACCTGAAGCATTGAACACTCAAGGTAATTACAAAATTAATTTGCACTGCATTTTTATTTAATACATAGAATATATATTGCATACATGCAATGAATGATAAAATTACCCTTCGATTATATGCGATTAAGTATATAACGGTTAAAGTTGTACAGCCACAATGATGTTGTACAGGCTATAACAATTCACGATACTTATCGTGACGAAATCTTTCCTGAACTGAATATTTATTTTTGGCGGGAGAATAGTGAGGCATTGAAAAACAGCGAGGAAAGGATTGGACCACGAAATGAAATTCGATTTCTAATTAGTTATATATAAATTAAATTTAAAAAGCACAAAATAGACTTTTCAATTTTGGAAACTAGAGTCAAAAAAATTTTACATTTAAAATGTTGGTTGGAGAGGGCCTTTCTAGCGCATTTTCTCATTTATGAAAAAAATGCACTATTGTGCTCGCCATGTCCGTCCGTCTGTCCGTCCGTCTTTACGTGACTTCACATTTTTCGTTAACGAGAAAATGCGCTCTCTGTCACTCACTGCAGTGAGTACTGAGTTATACTTTTTTCACTAGCATACAGAAGTTTAATTTTTATTAATGGGATGAGGAACAAAGGGAATGACGGGATTCATAATAACGGGGCTGAAAAATTGCAAAGATTTCTAGACCGGACAATGCCGAGCTAACCTACCACTACCAGCAATAATAATAACCTACCAAGTCCTGAAAAGATGAGCTCAAAATGAGCTTACAATGAAAAAATTTAATTATATTTAAAGTGAGTTTTACGTCACAGCGCAAACTGTTGACAAAGTTCAAGATCAACGAGCGTGGCATGCGCGTGGCAGCACACACGGACATGTGTGAGGCTGTTCTTCTGTAGTTAGAATAGAAAGAATATAACTGTTATAAATAATATATATAGGTGTTAAGAATATAACTGTAGTTATATTCTTAACTGTTAGGAACTTAATTCTTCTATATATTCTTAAGTGTCTTAACTTAATGTTAAGAATACAACTGTGATTATATTCTTAACTGCTGTGATCATGCCATGTCTACAATATTAAGGGTCGAGGTGTATATAGAAGACTCGTAAAAAAGGTTTTTATGTACGAATGTTATAAGCCATTTTGAATAATTTCAAAGTACTCGACTAAGAATGAATTGACGTGGATCTTTCAGCAACTGAAGCATACCTGGAAGAAATATAACTCAGTACTCACTGCAGTGAGTGACAGAGAGCGCATTTTCTCGTCGACGAAAACTTGAGGTCACGGACGGACGGACAGACAGACAGACGGACGGACGGACATGGCGAGCACAATAGTGCATTATTTCCATAAATGAGAAAATGCGCTAAAAAGACCGTACAACGAATAAAAGATCGGCAGATAAACGAGTGCGTGTTGTTCATTGCACAAACCCAGGAGGAATTTCAGTTTCTTCATCGGCCACTTTCAACAAATGCTATAATTTTATCAAAATAATTGTGAAAGTTCCAAGATTCGAAAGCGTCCAAAGGAACTTAAAATTGCCTATAGATTAGTTAATGAATTTAACCTGCTGTGTTACTAAATTTTTATATTTCATGTCAGCCAACACAGTATTATGAATTATAAATAATAACAAAACCTATTTCTTATGGAAAATGGTCGCAGGAATTATACAAAAAGACAGCAAACATGATACATAGAAGCTGAATATATATTACAGGGTGCGCCAGAGAAACTTACTTATTTGCAATGTCAATAAAAACAAAAGTAATCCAATTATTGTTTACATTTTTTATTTATTTGAGAATACAGTTTCCCAAATTTTTTTAATACAGTCTTGAAAATGACATCTCATAAATGACGGCCCCCATTGCGCATACACTGAAGAAGTCGATTTTTGAAATTTTTATCCACTCAATGCAGCATATCAATCGGTATTTTGGCAATGACGTCGCGAATGTTGTCTTGCGGTGTGCTATGGTCCGTGGTCGATCGACTTAAACCAGAAATTTCAAATAACCCTATAAAGAGAAATCGCATGGAGTCAAATCTGGAGAGCGTGGCGGCCATTGGAGATCGCCTCTGAGAGAGATGAGGCGGTCGGGGAAATGATGTCGCAACAAATTCATCGAGTCTCGTGCTGTATGTGTTCTGGCTCCATCTTGCTGAAACCACACGTTCCTAAAGTTCATTTCTTCGAGTCTTGGAAGAAAAAATTCCTAGATCATGTTCCTGTAATGAGCTCCATTAACGGTAACTGCGCGTTCGTTTTCTTAAAAAGTAAGGACCAATTATTCCCATTACCGACGTCGCACATCAGACAGTAACTCGCTCACAGTTAAGTGGCTTCTGGTGAAACTCACGTGGATTTACACCACACCAATAACGCATGTTTAGCTTGTTGACGCAGCCGGAAATGTGGAAGTGAGCCTCGTCACTGAAAAAAACGACCGCGTCTTCAGGCAGGTTGTCAACCAGCATTTCACATGCATTTGACGGGCAGCAAAATCGCGTTCAGTTAATTCTTGCACAACAGCAAATGTATTTGAAAAACTTTGAGAAACAAACTTGGGAACTTTCTCCTTCAGATGCACCCCCTCTCGCCCCTCTACCCGACCAACTAACCGCAGAGGAATTTTTTCAAATAAGTAAGTTTCTCAGGCGCACCCTGTAGTAGTAATAATAATAATAATAATAATAATAATAATAATAATAATAATAATAGCGGCTTCAGCATTTCCTAGGTTGTAGGCCTGTCGGTGATTCTTAACATCACAGAACATTCACAGCTTGTTGCGGTTTCGAACACGCAACTCACTGCTCCAATTCTTCTGGTCTTAACCGCCCGGCCTCCTCGCCGATTCTGACCAGAAACTGGCGCACAGAGCTGGGATCGAACCCGCGCCTCTTTGCTCCAATCTCTGCATGGTACTAACGGTACCCCCACTGGGCCAACCTGCCCTATTTATTTGGGCCACCCTGCCCACCATTATAATATTTGTTGAATAATAGGTAGAAAAATGTACTCACTTGTAAATAATTTTTTTCCTCCATCTTGAGAGAAGAATTCTCGAGCCGCTCGAGCTTGTCCTTATAAATTTGAGTGAACTCGTCGAGCAAGCCGAGCATCAGCTGAGAGCTGGGGCACGCAGTCGAAGCAGGCTCCATCTCCTCGTTTTCGGTGTTCGATTCCAATGATTCGTCGGTGCGTCCGTTTGCGTTTGACAAAGAAGTTTCGTTTTTGGATTCGGTCTTCATCTTGTTAAACTTGACACTCAATAATATATATAATTATTTTATTTTAAAGTGAGTGCTTTAAATTGAAAATCAAATTTTTCGTCGAATTTGAGATTCCATGTTATATGTATTGTCAACTTCAACTATAACGTAAACTTTCACCTGACGTTTAATTAAAAGTTACCATTATTCGTTGAATAACAACTTCACTTGTTCATTTAGTAACTCATCTGTACTGACATGAATGGCCATACAATTTCACCGTTTTTATTTAAAATAAACTATTTCCAAATTCCATCTAACTTTAAGAAACGCGTTTAAACCATGTTTGCACAATTTTAATTCACAAAACTGAGTCATATCATGTGAGAATGATAGTGAATTGAGAACAATTAAAATTCTTAATGCAATGAACGTTCAAGCCCAAATAGTATGAAATACATTGGTTGCCCATTCAGTCACCAGCTCCAGCAGTGGTAGATTTTTAACCTAAACTTAATGCAAACCTTGGAACCGCAAATGATATCGGCAAAATGCACCTGAAATACACCGGAATAAAGAAATATTATGTTCTAATTTTTCAATAAGTTTGCACGGACGCTCCAATAAACGCAATCGGCAAAAATCGTAACAGAGATTCCATCTGTTGAGTGTTGAATAATTGCGTGAACATTTCTTGTCTAAAAAATAGATCCAGTGAGCAGGAAATGAACAAAAAGCATGAAATCTAATATTAAACAATGCAAAAACTATAATGAATGACGTTTGTGAACATTTTTTTGTAAATCGGATGTGATGATCACTATATTTTTTCGAATCTCTGCACCAGCACACACTCACTCTCGGGTGTGCCAGCTGACTGTCAGTCGCAAGTTGCAGACGACGTGGATTCTGTTGTGACTGCGTGTGTTGGTCCTTTTATCACGTAATGTAAACCCAATGGAGACACGAAACTCAAGTATTTACACGTAAATGGAAAGTTCACTGTGGCCAAACACAATGAAATTTTGCAGTTCTATCAAAATTTGTACTTTATTTAAATTATCTCTATTATTTTAATTTGTTTTGACCATTCATTAATTATCATTTCTATCTTGAGGTCCATTTTCAATATTACCCGCAAGTTTTGGTAACCATTTTCCTCCAGGTTACACTCTAAGTTGAACTTACGTTGCGCTTACCATTCTGGCACTGTTTTGATTTGAGGAGTGACAGAAATGAATGAACAAGGACACGTTCATTATCATGTTGAACTGTTGAACATTCAGGTTGTATGAGGAAAATGATTGAATTGCAGTCGCCAGTTGTTAGCAAAAATATTCAACTTGGAGATGAGCTCTCGTTGTTTCCGTCTGTTAGCAACGAATTCACTTATGATACATTTTTTCGTCGCTATATGGAACCCAATTTACCGTGCATTTTTCAGTCATGGCTAACTGCTGAATGGGCAGCTCGAAAGATCTGGGTTAGTGACAACAAAATCGACGTGGATCATCTAGTTCATAAATACGGTTGGTATTTTATTATTCTTTTAAACATTATTTTTCTATTTACTCCAAAAAACATCTTGATTATGCTTATGAAGTTATGATTCATTTGCAAAAATACGATACTTACATTACTTAGGCCTATAACTTTATAAGATAAGACATAAGAGTCATAGCCTTTTACCGTTACTTTTGATTCTTTTTACAACACTTCTCTTTAACTTCACTTCTTGTCTGTTTGTTTGTCTGTCTGTCTGTCTGCTAGACTGCTACAAATCTTATAATGAAAAATTTAACACACTACACACTTCTACTTATCCTATCGATCTGAAATTTTGCACACTTGTGTAAAGTTGGAGAAAATGCATGAATCAAATGTCAAAATAAAAGATTTGAAAAATTTAAAAAAATTTTTAAATATTAAAAAAAATTAAAAAAATAATTTTGTCAGCTACAAATCTTATAACTAATATCTGACACACTTTTACAGTTTTACCTACCTGTCTAATTGATCTAAAATTTTGCACACTTCTGTGAAGTCAGAGGCAATGCATGAATCAATTAATGGAATAATTAATTTTGAAAAAATATATATATATTAAAAAAATTGAAAAACTAATTTTTTTAATTCGAAAATTAAATGAGAAATTCATTGTAGTGATTGTACATCTGTAAGATTGGAGACACTGGATTCTTTGGAAGTGTAGTCTTTAAAAAGTAATTTTAAACGCATATTATTATTAGAGTACCGGTAGGTATAGCCTAATTCTATGAAAACACATATGCTGTAATAAATATCTCTATCTTAATTTAAATTTATATATTATATTGCTGTCCCATCCATCCTTTTATATTCAATGGCTAGCTAACTTGATGAAAAGTTGACAAATTTGATGAAAAGTTGACAAATTTGATGAAAATTTGCTTTTTTTTTAATTTTGTTTTGGATTAGGTCATCTGGATTCTGGATGATCTGGTCTAATATGGATGCTGACATTGAACTTTTACATTGAAAATATAATTTTTTTATATATTAACTAATTCATTTAATGAAAAAATGCTGATTTTTCATTTAAATTGCAAAAAATGTTATTTTTCTAGGTTCCTTGCAATGACATTGACATTAGGACTCAGTCATGGCCCATGGGGTCTCAATTTTGAAAGTAATAGCTTTCAAATTTTTATTGTAATAGCTAATAAAACAGGCTTAAATAGTTGAACGAAGGGCCAAGGGCTCTTGCCTAAAATATATCCTGTTATAACATTCAGGTATATTTTTATTAATTGCTTTCTTTAAATTATTCTCATTGTAATATTTGAGTTACATTGCTCACTATTCCTGGAAAATTTTTACATGACCACTAAAAATTAAGAGATTGAATTTTATAATATCCAAGAAAACTACCTATACCATACCTAAATGCTAAATTATTTGTATTTCTAAATTTTAAACATTGCTCTTTGCCAACAAAACATTTACCATTTTTTGATTTTCAGGTCTTGCAGAAGTTCCTGTTGCTGATTGTGACCAAAAGCATTATAATTCTCAGCAGAAAGAAACATTTCTATTGAAAAACTATCTCTCTAAGTACTGGCTGAATCACAAGTGTGAAGAGAACAAGTCCCATCAAAAATGCCTCTATCTCAAGGTGTGCATATATTGATGTTGCATATAAGTTGGCTGTAATATATTTTCATCTCTTTCATTTGAACTGGACATATTGAATTAGGTTTATTGCTGTCTGAAAGAATTTTTTGTTAGCATTCACAGTAATAGATGTAGTAGATTTTGATTTGGAAATTTTGAATGACCTTATCTGATATCTCAGCATTAAAAACTCTATCATCTATGCAGTTTTGTTGTCTAATGCCTTCAATATTTCAATAATTCCACAAATTATTTTAATTCAGCTAATATCTTTTCATTTTTCAAATATTTTTAGAATAAAATCTTTCAATAAATTCCACAAAAATTATTTTAAATGTATTAGAAAAAATATCTTCAGCAATGGGAATATAAATTTATATCCAGTAAAGTCAAGAAATTTGGTTGGCTTGCAGGATTGGCATTTTGTGAGAGCCTATCCTGAAGCCAAGATTTACAGGACCCCAATATTCTTTTGCTCTGACTGGCTGAATGAGTTCTGGGAGAAGCGTGAGGACAGCCAAGATGACTATCGCTTCGTCTACCTGGGACCAAAGGGCAGCTGGTAAGACTTGTAACTTAAGCTCAGATGTGAGTTTGTATTACTATATGAGTTTTAGAATACATTAAATTAATTGTTGAATGTCTGATTCCACCAAGTTTCATGTTGAAGAATTTATCCCATTGTCTGTTCTCCTTGAAGCATAGAAGAAAAAATATACTATTCAGTTCTTCACAAGACATAATTTTGGTATCACATCAACTGAATTTGTCGCACATTGAAGAAGAAACCTTCGAAATAAGTAACTGGGACATAAGCTCATGTTTTTCAATATTTTCTTATAACAAGGCAATGGCTTACTGAAGAAAATTTTCAATACCCTCATAAAATGAATGAAATTCTTGAACAGGACACCATTCCATGCAGATGTCTTCCAATCATACAGCTGGTCAGCCAACGTGTGTGGCCGCAAGAAATGGATTTTTTTCCCTCCTGGTGCTGAAGAAAGTTTAAAGGACTGTATGGGTTCTTTGCCTTATGACATCGCCAAGAGCGGCCAGAAGTGAGTTTTACCGTATCATTCTTCATATTATTATCATTGGCTCCTTGTCATGTAAATCAGGAAGCGCAGAATGTAAAACAGCCATCAATGTTCTGTGACAGCAAACTTACTTAGTTCATATTATGTAATAATGGAATCAATTTTATCAATTTATATATCTATATATATCCAGTTGGAAGAAGATATTTAGGAAGGTTGGCCCAGTGGTTAAAGTTCAGAGTTCCAAGATTGAGGGAGGCGCGGGTTCGATCCCAGCTCTGTGCGCCAGTTTCTGGTCAGAATCGGCGAGGAGGCCGGGCGGTTAAGCACAGCAGAATTGTAGCAGTG